CCGGGCCCTGGGTCCCCCGGGGGGGTGGCCTCCCCTTCTTCCCCCTTTTTTAAAAGGGTGGGTCCCGCCCCCATCAAGTTCCGAGGGGGTTCTTTTTTTTGAAGAACCCCTTAAAAACCCTTCGGGGGGGGGTCTCGGCCCTCCAAAAAGGGGAACTGCCCCCGCCCCCGGCCCCCCCTTCGGCCGGCTTCCAAAACGCCCAGGGATGCCCAAAATTTTCCCAACCCCCTTTTGGGGTATTCGCGGCCGTTCCAAAGGACTGGGGGTTCCAAAATGCCCCAAAATGCCCCAAAATCCCCCAAAATGCCCCAAAATCCCCCAAAATCCCCCAAAATCCCCCAAAAAAACCAGGGGGGGGGGGGCCCGTTTCCGCCTTTTTCCCACTTTAAAGCCCCCCCGGCCCCCCCCCCCCCCCGCCCTTCACCCCCTCACCCCCCCCCTCGCCTTTTCAGGCGGCTCCTCGTCCTCTTCACGGAGCAGTTTGGCTCCGACCCCTTCGGAATGATGAACCAGGCGCACACACGCACCTCCCCACACACCCCTCTCCACCTCCGACCCCCCCCCCCCACACACACACTTCTGCGCCAGGTCCTCCGCCACGTCGGCCTGCCAAGCTACAACTGGCCGGATGCCGTGCGAGTGCCAAACTCGACCAGGCGCGTGCGTGTGGGCCGAAAGGGGGGGGGGGCGGGGGCGGGGGCGTTACACTTCACTTCTGACCTCCTCTCGACCACCACCCCTCGGCCACACCCAGCAGCAGCACCCCTCCCCCCCCCACACCTCTGTCCGCAGAGAGCCGCCTCGCGCGAGGCTCGCTCCTCCCCGCATGCCTCCCCGCCCCCGCCGCAGGTGGACCTACTGCCTCGCGACTTCCAAAAGCGTCGCCCCAAAGCGCAAGCTCTCTGCCGCGTGGGAGGCTGCCCTCCGCCTCGCATACACGCCCGTCATCCGCCGCTTCAAGGAGGCGCTGCCGTGCCTGCATGCGCCGTGGCGCGAGGCGGACGGCGAGCATGCCGGCGAGGCGGCGGACAACAAGGAGACGGGCGCACACGAGGAGCTGCGGCGCAAGATGTGCCCCTGAAGCCCCTGAGGACGAGCCCCCCCCCCGCACCCCGGCACTACGCGACCCATGACGTAACCCCTCAGGGCATGCCTCCGTCAGGGGGCACAGGGGGCGCTCTTGGAGTCCGTGAATCACTGCGTGGGTGTGTCGGTGCGCACGTGTGCCCCGTGTCCGTGTGGTGTGTGTCACCCGCGGATCGACTGCCGAGTGCGCGTAACCGCAGAGAAGTGAGTGAGTGTCAGTCTCGCGTCTCGGACATCTGAGATCTGTGACAACTCGGTGTGACCTGTGACTGTAATAGCGACCTCTCTTTGTCGCACGATTCACACGTGCATGGCTCGAGCCTCTAGACTCGACATTCACACAGTAAAGAAGCGGATGGACCTCAGCAGCTACTGCGCAGGACAGTACAGGTACAGGTGCGCGAGGACCGACCTCTGACGAACACGATCGGGCATCAGCCGACTGACGTATATAGCGAGACTCACATGAAATCAAGCTGTTCCACATGCAAATATGGCGCGTCTCGAGGCGCACACTGGCAGAACACGCGCGCGCCCGCCTCGGGCCGACCGGCCCAGGCCCGCTCTACGAGACGAACGTTTGGATCTCCTCTGCGGAGAACCAAACGCCATCGCACCACGCCCCGCTCATCCGGTCGCCCTCGTAGTTCCAGGTAAGGCTGCTGTCGCGGCCTCCGCGCTGCGCATCGAGCTGCACCCGCGCGAGGCGGTGGACCGACCTCCGCTCAACGACGCCTGCCACATTGTGCAGCGCCCACGAGCGGATGGCGTCGCTCTCGAGGAGGTCGTCCATGGCTTTGAGCGGTGAGGGTGGTGTGGGGCCGCTGCTCGCCATATACGCAGCAACCAGGAGACGGGCGCGTGGCGATCGCTCGACCCCGCGCGTCAGCGGACTCTCTTGCTTCCTCTTTGCGGGGCTCTTCGTGGACTGGCGGATGGGCGACTCGCAAAGGAACTGCTCGATGAAGGTGGCCTCGTCAAAGATATTTCCCCGCTGGACGCGACGGATTTGCTCGTCGTCTTGGAACACAGCGGTGGCGGCGTGCTCGCAGCTGGTCTCGCGGGGGCGCTTGCGGAGGGGCGAGGCTGGCGATGCGAGCATGATGACTTGCCACCAAACCTAGTCTCGTGCCGATCTGGAGGTTCTTCTGATTTCTGCTTAGGTGCCCGCGAGTTGATCGAGTTGATCTCAGATACCGACAAGTTTCTCTCACTTCGCGCCTCGACACAAGCGGGAAACTCACGCATCACAGTACATCAAAATCCCAAAAAACGTAATGATACACGCACGCCGCCCAGTCCTCTGAGTCTCATCGCAACTTCGCAAGCACTACTCTGTGGCTGGCTGGCGCGCTTCCACCTCGAGCACTCTCTCTAGAGATCACTCCGTCACCTTGCAGGCCTTGCTCTTGCGGGGCGCCACCTCGAAGAGCTTGCACTCCTCCTCGAGCTTGCGGATGGTCGCGAGGTCGGCGTCGATCACGGTCGCATCGTCGTGCACCAGCACCACCACGCCGGGGCAGTCGAAGAGGTCGACGGTCAGCTTGAGGGGCATGCCCACCACAACGCTCTCGGTGATGGTCGTGAAGGAGGGCAGCGTCTTGATGGTCTCGAAGCCAGGCGTCGCCTGCACCTCCTCGCCCTCCTGGTACGAGACGAGCATCACGATGGTGCCTACGCACGGCCGCCCGCGCACGCGTCACGGCGCGGGTAGGCGGGTGCGCCCGGGGGCACCGGGACCGGGCCGCGCTGCCTGACGCCACGAACGGGCGAGGCACGGCCGGGAGGGCGTCGAAGGCGGCGCCGTCTACAAAGATGTCGAGGTTCGAGCGCACCTGGGTGATGCCGCCCGTGCAGCGGTCGGTGAGCGGCAGCCACGAGCCTGCGCACACGCCGGCGCGGATGTGTGAGCGACGCGCCCGGGTCTCCCACCCCCCGCCGCAACTGTGAGCGCGCCGCTGTGGCCGTGCACGCGGCAGTTGACCTCGACGAGGCAGGGCCCGTCCTTGGTCATCATGATCTCGTTGTGCGTCGCGCCGTTGGCGATGGCGAGCGCGTCGATGCAGCCGACCGTGTAATCGATGAGCACCTTTGCAACCGGGTCGTCGGACGGCACCGGGATCATGCCTAGGGAGGGGCCTGGGGCTGAGTGGCGGGGCAGGGCGGGGAGGAGGGAGGGTAAGGGGATGCGCGCGCGCCAAAGTAGACGAAGCCGCCGCCGTTCGCCTCGCGCTTGTCGTAGACCCACACAAACGTGGTCTTGTGCACGCCGTCGCGGGTGACGCAGTCGACGACGTACTCCTTGCCCTGAAGAAACTCCTGGCAGAGGACGGCGGCGCCCTGCGCGCCCAGCTTGCGCTGTCCGGTCATGAGGAGGTTGAAGTGCGCCTCCGCCTCGCCCATCGTCTTGCACAGCTTGACGCCGTCCGAGCCGCACGACTCGACCGGCTTGATGATGAGGGGCACCTCCTGCGGCCGCGAGGGAGTGGCGGCGATGATGGCGGCGGCGGCGGCGGCGGCGGCAGCGGCGGAGGGGGGAAGGGGAGCGCGGAGAAGCGCAGCGGGAGGGGTGTGGTGTGGCCTGCTCGCAGAAGGCCGCCACCTCTGAATTCCAAGCGGTGCCTTGCAGCTGGCGCACGCTGCGCAGGCCCGCCTCCTTGACCTTCTCCTGCTGGAACTTCTTGTCGCGCCGGTTCTCGAAGCCGCCCGAGGTGGAGTTGCCGCGCAGCCCGAGCAGCTCCGACAGGTTCTCCGTCACCTTGACGCCCGACTCGCCGCCGGCGATGATGTGCTCAAACTTGGCGTCCGCGGCGGTGGCGGCGTCGGAGATGGCCTTGCCGAGCGCGGCGAGCGTGCTGATTTCCGCCGAGGGGTAGCGGATCTGCAGGCAGCGGGCGTGGTGGCCAGGATTTGCGGTGGTGGTGGAAAGGGTCAGGGCGGCGGCGGGCGGGATCGGGTGCAGCTCAAAACCTGCGCGAAATACAGGTCATCGATGGCCGCGACCTCGTGCGGAATGTGCGATTCAAGCTCGCCGCACTCGTCCGTCCAAACGGCCAGAACCTTGAAGCCGCGGTAGTACGCCTCGGCTGACACGTGGGCGCCGGTGGAGTAGGGGTCGACGACACAGACGCAGACCTTCTCGTTTTCGGCCAGGCGCGGGCTGGTGGTCTTGTAGGCGTGCATCGGGGCGTCGGAGGAGCTGGGTGATGAAGCAGGTCTGCGGGGCGAGGGAGTGGAGGTGAGCGACCACAGATACATACATGAGTGGCGGTGGCGGTCTGATGGCGGGTGGCGGCGGTGTGGCGGCGGTGTGCCGGCGGTGGAGCAGAGGGACATTTGTGGCGGAGGGAGAGGGAGAACCACGACAAGAGGCACGGACCAACAGGCGCTGATGATGGCACAAAGGCAAGGGCTTTTGGTGGGGTACAGCGGGGGGTGTTACAGAAAGAAAAAATCAAGAGAAGCGGAATGACGGCTAGCGCATCACACACCTCTCCTTAAAATCCCTGTGTGATGGCGGCGTGCCGTCCTCCCATCCCTCCCTTGGCCTGTCTGTTTCTTTCTTTCTTTCTTAGAAGCGGAATCACCACTCTCAAAACAAGCTGCCGAGCCCAAATCACTGTGAGAGTCGTGATTTCTTGTTGGTCTTTAAAAATCTCTCTCCCACTCTCGACAAACAACCGTCTGCACGTCTCGCGCGCGCGTGAACAGGGCTCCAGGCCCCAAATTACGTGTGAGTGTTAGAGTTGTTTAGTATTGCTAAAAATCTCTCTCTCCACTCTCGAGGCTGTTACAGAAAGAAAAAATCCTCCCTTCTTCCTCTCCCGAGAGAAGCGGAATCACCACTCTCGAGGGCAGGGCGCATGTTCATCTCGCTTCTCACGGATCGCAGCGGTGTTGGTCAGATGCCGAGACTCGCCGTCGAGGCTCGGTCTACGGCTCTACTCGTACGAGTAGCTGCTAGCAGGCTGCCTAGCAAGCACCCTATACGTACGGCCCGCAAGGGGACAGATGCAGGGCAGCGCTCCGAATCGAGCCTCGCCCCCAATGAAGGAAAGATCTCGGAGTATCGAGGTATCGACCTCTGGCCAGTCATCAAGCCAGCCCCACTCTGAGGCCGCCATGAAGTCCACAGCGATCGCCATCTCGCTGGCCTCTCCGCAAGGCCTCCCGACCGCGTCGAACTCATCGACGCGGGCTCTCTCGGCTACGGGACCGGCCCCAGCTTCGGCTGAGTGAGGGCTGACAAGCTGCTGCCGAGCCCAAATCACTGCGAGAGTCGTGATCTGTGATCTGTGAGGTCCGCCCGCAGGCGTATTTTGTATACCGCCGGAGCCAGATGGCCGAAGGGGTGGACTGCTCAAGGGCCTCCTATTGTCCTTGGCCTTGCCTACTCAGCAACACTATGGCACCAGCTATGCACTTAAAATGCAATTACTATGCATTACAATGCAACGTATGCGGGAATGTGCATATAAATGCAATTGAATGCATCGAATGCATAATGCAACGAAATGCAATCACGCGCAGAATGCATCGAATGCATATGCAACGACTGCCCCACTTCAGGGCCGCTGTCAGGGGTGGTTACGGCTTACGCTCGTGCCAACCCTCGATCCGGGATCGCTGCGAGACTTCGGGCTCTGCGGAGTTACTCTCAGCCTCTTTCTCTTCGTCTTCGACTTCGGCCCCCCACCGCGCTTCACCGCCCCCTGCGCATGTCTTGTCGCCCTAGGGGCTCGGGCCCAGGCCTGAACTCCTCACTGCACTGTTGTAGGAAACTCCTTCTTGTGTTTGTATCCGCTTTCTCTCTTGTTTGTTGGTTATCAAAAATCTCAAGAGAAGAGAAGCTGGGGGCTGACAAGCTGTGCCGTGCCCAAATCACTGTCGGACCCTGCGGGTTTTCTTTTTCGCAAAGTGGGTCGCGTCCTGAAGCTCCTGCGAGCGGGCGCAGTCTGTGATCGTCAGACCCGCACATAACACGCATGGCGTCCCCATTGCCCGGCCCCGGCGTTGTGCCGGCGCTGCCGCTCCTCCAGGCCGCCGCCAAGGCGTGCGGCGAGCTCCCCACCCGCTCGCTCACGACGGCCCCTGGGCTCTCGTACCACCTCGACCTGACGGCCGACGGCATGAGCGCCGACGAGCTGCGCGACTTCTTCACAGCCGCCCTCGCCGCGTCGCGCAAGAAGGAGCCGATCGTCGAGACGGGCAACCGGTACGGCGTCTGCGACGACTTCCACCGCCTCAATGGCGAGCTGCTCATGCTCGAGTTCAAGCAGTCGCCGGCTTGGGCCGCGCTGTCAACCACCGACCAGGCGCGGGCCGAGGCCTTCCTCGGCATCGTGCTCTACAGCCCGGAGCTGCGCAGCCGCAACCCGCTCCACCCCAGCGTCCTCGATGCGTGCGTCATCGGCAACCTCCTCAACTTCCCAAAGCACGTCCTCGGGCTCCCGTTCGCCGCCTACGCCACCGACGGCAACGAGGCGCTCTCGCTGGTGCTCTACTCGTACCGGCAGCGAGCGGAGGCCGCGGGGGCGCCGCCTCCGCACCGCCTCCTCTATCTCGTCGACGGCCCCGACAGCGCGCCTCCGCCGCCCGACGCGGCCCGCTGCGCCCAGCGCCTCGGCATGCAGATGGAGGTGGCGGCGGGACTGGAGGCGCTGGGCGCGGCGCTGCGAGGAGGCGCACCCCCGTGCGCGGTTGTGGCGCCCTTTGGCTGCGAGCCGCTCGACGCCGCCTCCGCGCTCTGCTCCGATCGAGGGGTCGGCCTCCACCTGCTTGTGAGCGACAGCGAGTGGCGCGGCATCTTTGCGGCGCACGCGGAGCCGGTGCACTACGCGCTGCCCGCGGGCGTGACTTCGGTCTCGATCCAGGAGGGGATGATGCGGTGCGGCTACTCGCTCTACCGCGACGCGGAGCTGCGAGACCTGCACTTCGACGTCGCGCTCGCGTGGCAGACCGCGCCTAATTAGCAGTCAATTCGTAGTTAATTGGTACTTAATCAGTAGGTCGCGCTCGCGTGGCAGACCGCGTACCTCTCCCCGAACGAGGGAGGCTCGGGCGCGTCGACGCCGCTCTTTGTCGACTTTTGCGTGCTCATGCTCGGCTGGCGCGCTCTGCGCGGCATCGCGTCCGCCCCCGCGGCGGCGGCAGGCGGCGGCGGCGGCGCGTCGCTGCAGCCCACGCCCGCGCCCGCCGCCGCGCCGCAGCTGGCGGGCCTTCCCGAGGGAGGGGCGCCGTACGCCGAGATCCGCGGGTGGGCGGAGCGCTGTTTGGCGGACGAGGAGGTGGGGCGGGGGGCGCTCGAGGCGCAGCTGCTCGGCTTCCAGCGCCACTTTCTGGGCGGCATGGCGCGTACCGCTGCGGGCGGTGACGGGCTGCGTGGGCCCGCGCGTCTTCACGCCACCCGCGTGCGGCTCGTAGGACAAGCCGCTCGAGGTGATCACGACGGGGGGGGGCACCCGCTCGATCAACATCGCCTTTGAGGCGATCCTCCAGCGCGCCCGCGCGGAGAGGGGCTGCGGCGGAGGAGGCCGCAGCAGCCGCGCCGTTGGCGGCGGCGGGGTCGCCTCCTCCGCTGCCGCCGGCGGGCGGGTGCGAGTGCTGACCGGCAACCCTCACCTGGCGGTGGAGCGGGCGGAGCGGCGGTTTGGCTTCGAGCTCGTCCGGCTGTACGACTGCGGCACGCTCGACACGCGCCGGCTCGCCGTCGAGATTCGCGACCCGCGCGTGGTTGCTGTCTACAGCCAGACGCTGTCGTACACGGACGGCATCTCGGACGACCTCGAGGCGAGCCTCGGGGCGTGGCAGGGGGGGGGGGGGGGGGCGGGCTGCAGAGGGCGTCTCTCCACGCCGCGTGCGTGCTAGCAGGCGATCCTCGCGATAGTGGAGGCGGAGAACGAGCGGCGGAGCGGCGCCGGGCTGCCGCTCGTCACGCTCGTCAACGACTCGTGCCTCGCGTTTTGCGTGCTGGTGCACAACGACGGGCGAGGCGGGCGCGGCTGCCTACGGCTGCTCGACCTCGCCGGCGCGCGCTGCACCACGCCGCTCATCGTCACGCTCGACGCGCACAAGCACCTCGGCGTGGACAAGGGGGTCAGCTCGTGCGTCGGCTCGCCCGGTACCCTGAGCCACCTCGCGGGCTCCGTGCGAGTGGGCGCGCAGCCGACCAAGGGCATGCTCGTGCGCGCGCTGGCGGATCTGCTGCTGGTGGGCGTCGACGGCTACACGCGCATATACCGCGAGCTGGCCGAGCAGATGCGGCGGGTCGAGGCGGCGGTCGAGGCGGCGGGGCTCGCCGTCGTGCACCGCAGCCACCGTGCCGCCGGCTCGTCGGTGATCAGCGCCGAGGACCCGGCGGGCGTGCTGATGCGCAAGCTCAAGCGGCGGGGCCACTCCTTCGCCTCCCTCTTCAACCTCTACCCCTCCGACCCGGCCCGCTGCCAGTACGGCTGGTCGCTCTCGCTCACGCCGTACGCGCTGCGCGACCTCGGCGGCGCGGGCGGCGGCGCGACCGCCCTCGAGGTCTTCTTGCGCGATCTGGGCCGCGCCGCGGCGGAGGCGCGGGCGGCGGACTCGCGGCTGGCCACCCTCTTCTCGGCGAACTCGCTGCCGGGCATCCTGCTGCGCGGCGGCACGGAGGAGCTCTACCTCTTCACGCTGCTCTGGCGGCCGGGGCTCGGCCGCGCCGCCGCCTCGCTCGTCCTCCGCCGGCTCTTCACCGGGCTGCTCGACGCGGGCGTCGTGCGCTCGCGCAAGCGCGCCGACCCGCTGCGCGAGCTCGCGTGGCTGGCGGTGTGCGGCGTCCTTCTCGCCCTCGCCCTCGCCCTCGCCGTCTCTGCGCTCCTCTCGAGCAGCTAGGAGCACACGCAGTGGTGGAGCGGGCTCCCGCGCAGCAGGACGGCAGGGAGCGTGTGTGTCTGTGCCGGGTCGACGCGTCGACGGGAGTGATGAACAAGCACAAGGTGACAGGGGAAGGTGAAGTAAGCCCAGATGTGTGATGAATCAGTGATGTGGGACTCAGAAGACGGTCAGCGTCAGGTTTGTGTCGTGGCTGTGTCCTGTGTGTGATGTGTGAATAAATAGAGCAGTCATCTCCAGTAGGAGAGATGGGCGACGCACACGAACACAGAGGCACAGTGCGGTCCCCTCTATGCGGTCAGAAAGAAAGAAAACAGACAACCCAAGGGATCTATGCGGTCGCTGGAGCACTTACTGCAGGGCGCACGCAGGGGAAAAACTCTTTTCGCGTACCCGGGTACCCCCCCCCCCCGCCTCTGCTCTCTCCAGCCGCGCTCGCCGCCGCCGCCCTCGCCGCCGCCGCCCTCGGCCTCGCCTGTGTTCCTAACCGCCGCAAGAACATCACATGGGCGTGCTCCTGTCGCGCGAGCACGACCTCGACGCCGGCCGCTTTGACGTGCCGCCCTGGCCGCCCGAGCCTGCGGACCTCCGCTGGGCGTGCGACCTTTCTGAGTGGCAGCCGCGTGCGGCCGAGTGGGAGATGCTGCTCGGGTTGCTTCCTGCGTCAGACCGTGAGGCCGTCCATGCGATGGGGGCGGCGCTCGACCGGAAGCGTGCGCTCGTGAGCAGGCTCATGCAGCGGCGTGCCGCCAGCTTCGTGCTGGCCGTGCCAGACAGCGACGTCGTCATTCGCCGCACGAGGGCCGGCAAGCCCTTCGAGGCGGGCGAGTCTGCGGCGGCTCGGGCCGCTCACGGCGCGCCCAACTTCAACTTCAACGTGGCGCACGACGCTTGCCTCGTCGTCTTGGCTGCGGTCCCTAGATGCCGGACTCACATCCCGGTGTGCCATCGCTGGAGGGCGCGATCGAACAGAAGGTATCAAGCGGCCGCGTCACAAAGTCTCGCATGCGCGGCCGCACATTGCGCCTCTTGACGACGCAGCCTCTCGCCGCAGGCTGCGGACGCAGCGCTGCTGGTGGGAGTGGACGTCTGCTCGCCCTTCCGGCTGCGCGCTGGCGCGCCGGCGGAGTACGCCGGGCTGGTGAGCGCGTTCGAGGGCGTCCTGACGGCCGACGAGTGGGCGGCGGTAAGGGGAGAGGAGGCAGAGGGCGATGCGGACGACGCTGCCGCCTCTGCCGCAGGGGCTGCCGCAGGGGATGCGACAGGGGCTGCCGCGGGCGGGGAGGCGAGCGCGCTCCCCGCGGCGGAGGCGGTTTGCGTAACTCGCTTCCGCCGGCAGTGGTCGCGCAAGGAGGCGTACGTCAAGGCTCGCGGCGACGGGCTCGGCTTTGCACTCCGCCGCGTCGAGTTTTGCGATTGCCCGCCACCACGGCCGCCGGAGCCGGAGCAACAGCAGCCACAAACGCAACCACAACAGCAGCCGGAGCCGCCGAAGCCGCAGCCGCAGCCGCCGCAGCCGCCGCAGCCGCCGCAGCCGCCGCAGCCGCCGCAGCCGCAGCCGCCGCAGCTGGCGCAGTCACCGCAGTCACCGCAGCCGTCACTAGGACAGGGGCAGGGAGAGGGGCAGAAGGAGCCGGTGGCGCCGCGGCAGGCGCGGGGGATGGAGCCATCTCTGTCGGCGGCGGGGAGCGACCCGGATGGGGCGGAGGCCCCGCCCGAGTCCGCTGCCCCGCCTCTCCCTCTCTTCAGCCGCCTCTACCTGGACGAGCAGCTCTGCGACGAGTGGACCTGCTGGTCGCACGAGCTGCCGGGCGGGCACGTGGCCTCGGTGGTGCGGGGGCCGGTCGGCGCCGCGCAGGACGAGGAGGGTGCCTTCCGCGCCACGTTTGGCCACCCAGCCCTCCCCGCCGACGAGCTGGCGGCGAGGCTGGCGGCCCGCCCACCGCCCTTCGTGGCCGTCACCGTGCGCGATCTGGTGCCAGAGCACCGCCGAGCCGACTACGACGCGTCGGCCGCACCCGAGGGTGCGCCTTGGACGCCGCCGCCGCCGGCGGCGCAGAGAGGCGAGCCGGAGCCCTTGCCGGCGTGGGTCAATCCGGCCAACCGCGGCTCTGGGGCCGAGGTGGATGAGCTGTGCACCGTGAGCTGATGAGTGATGTGCGTATAGTGAGTGTGAGAGCACATAGCGCAGTGTACAGCACAGAGCAGTGTGCCTACCTATGTCTCACATGTCAAGTGAATCTTCAAGTGTCAACAGTCGTCCCCCTGAGCATGTATCAACCTAATGAACTTATGTGTTCACCTCGGATCTTAAGCGCACGAGATGTACTAATTATTCGACCTTGTGTCCGCATAAAATAAAACACCATCTCGTTCTCGACCCATGCTTGCCCGCACTACACACACGACTGGAGAGCCTAGACAGTCACGAAAAGACCCCGACGCACGTGCTCGCCCAAGCGGCGTTCCCTCTCAGCTCCCGCCCGGCGGCGGCGCGATCTGCTCCTCGAGACGCGGCGGCACGCAGATGCCATTGATCCTCACGACTGTCAGCGGCGCGCGCACGCCCTTCCATCTGCGATAGCCCTTGCGCCGCTTCTTTTTGAAGACAATCTCTTTGGACGCGAGCGCCTGCTCCTCGATGGTCGCCTCCACGTACGCCCCCTCCACGAGGGGCGCGCCAATGACGGTTGCCGACTTTGACCCGACCAACAGGACAGACTCGTTGCGGAACACCTCACCGACGTTGAAGCCGCGCATCTTCTCGACGGTTATTAGGTCGTCCACGGCAACCTTGTACTGCGTACCACCGAGCGACATGACGGCGAACCGGTCGGGTGGCGCGCCGGCTGGCGGAGGCATCGCCAGCACCTCTGGCTCGGGCGGCGGCGGCGGCGGTGGCGGCGGTGGCGGCGACGCGCCGGGCTGCCCCTCGGGCGCCCCGCACAGCGCGCGCCGGCCTAATCGCGGCGGAAGCGGCTGGCGCAGCAGGGGCAGCGACCGAAGCGAAGCAGGGGCTCCGAGGCGACATAGCGCGGCGAGCATGTTGTAGCGAGAGCGAGAAGCGAAAAAGAATTTGCGAGACGGCTAGCACGACGCTGCGCCTCCCTTGGGTTGTCTGTTTTCTTTCTTTTTGGGGCACGGCGAGCCTAGAAGCGAAAAAGATTGTTACAGCCACGAGGAGCGAAAAAGAAGACGCTGCGCAACACAAGCGATCCTCCCACACAGCAGAGTCACCGACGGATGATGACGCAAAGCGTCTCGAGATATATGCTGTCGCAATCGCCGCCTCGCGTCCACGCCTCCGCCCGGTCTCTTCTCCGAGCTGTCTCCGAGTTCGCCTACGATCCCTCCGGGCGGGAGAGAGAGAGCTAGAGAGCGAGAGAGAGCGAGAGAGAGCGAGCGAGAGAAAGAGAGAGAGAGAGAGAGAGAGAGAGAGAGAGAGAGAGAGAGAGAGAGAGAGAGAGAGAGGAGAGAGAGAGAGACTCTTCTCTCCGTTCCCTCCGGTGGCGAGGACGGCGACGCTGCGAGCATTTGTTGCGTGCGAAGAATACTCGCGAAGGAGAGAAAGCGAATCCGCAAAACTGTGAGTCCAAGGCTGCCGACTCCCGACTGCCGCTGCACTCCACAGTGCTCCAAGTGCAACAAGAACACAACGCACTCTCTCGCATTACAAGGGACACTCTGTCATGATGGGGAGACAAGACAGATCCAACGAGGATGAACAGCAGCCTCATAACCGCTGCCGCTCCCCCAGTCGAGCATTCATTCATTCATCGGGCAGCGCTCGTCTATCGAAAGAAGCGCCCCCGGGCGCATCTCAACTTCTCAAGCCAAGCGATCCCACGACAAGTGTCGGCGTAGAAGAGCGGCCTGATCGCGCACTACGACGCAGGTAAATAAAAATAAAAGTGCGACGAAATAAGGAAGTTATCACGCCCCAATACGCCGGCGGCTGGCTCGCGCGGAGCCCAAGCGAGAGAACACAATGTCCCGCAGGATATCCGCCACGCTCCTGCTGACCGCCACGCTCCTGTTGCTGCAAGCCGTGCCTCTCTCCGCTCACGGCGCAATGGTCCTGCCACCTCCGTGGCAGGACGTTGACGGCACATACTCTCAGGAGCGCGGCGATGGCTGGATGGGCAGCGGCGTCACTGGCTACCAGAATGACGGGGTGCTCGTTCCTGACGGCATTCCTGAGATTATTGGCGAGGAGCACGAGGGCAGGACGTGGTGCAACGCTGCGAATCGAGATTTCCCTGGCCAGTGCAGTTTTTATGCGCGCCACCCGTGGCTGAGTCCGGGGTACGCTGTGCCCTACAGCCCGTGTTCCATCTTCGAGATCGAGCCTCACACTGACGCGAGGACCCTACCCGGCAACGCTCAGCCCACCCGCTGGGCATCGGGCTCCACGGTCGAAGCCGAGTGGGCGATCTACGCCAACCACGGTATCTCGCTGCCCCCTGAAGCTGCCTCGACCCTCCCCACTTCCCTCCTCACACACCCATTGCTCTGCGTGCCTCCCAGGAGGTGGGTACCAGTATCGCATATGCCCACTTCCGGCCTCTGGGAGCCGGATGGGGCTCACGGAGGGGTGCTTCCAGGAGCACGTCCTCGATTTTGCGGTCCCGACCGTGGATTTGCAGAATGTAAAGAGCGGGCGGTCGGCCCCGAGATACACCGTGAACGCCACGCGCGTCGTGGAGGGGACCTGGCCGCCTGGTCGCGAGTGGGCGACCAACCCGATCCCGGCCTTTGGTCCAGACGGGCTGAGCGAGTTTCCCTTCGCGCCGCTCGTGCCTGGCGCGTGCGGAACCAAGGGCGAGACCACCACCCAGGAGTGTCCTGACCGCGTCATGAACTGGCGAATCATCGACAAGCTCCATGTTCCGAGCACGTTGTCGCCCGGCAAGTACGTCTTGTCGATGCGCTGGGACGCTGAGGGCACCCCTCAGATCTGGGCGGCCTGCTCCGACATCGAAATCACACCATCCGTTGGTGCACCCGCAACTCCTTCTCCACCGGCGCCCGCGCCGCCGCAAGCTCCTCCTCGGTCGTGCGGGCTCTGCTCCTGCGACGCCTGCACACCCACGCAAGCCTACAGCCTCTGGTACAGCGACTGGTGCGGTGACCCGTACCAGAACGGTTGCGATGGAACACGGCCTGAGTGCGAGTGCTCGACGTCGGCGTCGGCGTCGCCACCAGTGGTGGCGACGCCGCCGCCGAATCCACCTTCGCCATCAGACGTTGGGGCAGTCGTCAGCGGCCTTCGCGACTGCATCAACGTGTGCTTCAAGGAAATGGCGTGAACAAGGTCAGTCAAGGGCGCTGTCCAAAAAATTGTCGAGTATTCTGGCAAGTCGATGCGTAGAGACGTTCATTACGACAGCGGACGGACGGATGCACACAGTGGTGAGCACGCGCAGCGGACGCCAAAACAAACATTCTTATAGTTCGGGAGAGCATTCGTGGTATTTGATTACATCTGGGGAAGAGCTATCTAAGCTTCTCTCAGACATTGAGAACGAATTTCTTCAAGAGAAAGAAAAAGAAACCAAACGCACATGTGGTTTCGCCAGTGAGGCGAGCAAAACTACTGATCGCGCGTCCACCATGACGCGCTCGCATGTCGGCGATACCCTGGTCGCAATGGCGCCGTCGCGGCTCTCATCTTCTTCCCTCACCTTCGAGCCGCTCACTGGAATACTAAACAATGTGCCGACCAAGGATGCGCCACCAGTAAGGCTGCCGACGAAGGCTGACATCAGCTCCACTGCAGCAGTTTCTGCTGCCGTTGAACGCCGCGATTATCGATCCGCAATCGTCGCGGCGTTGAGCGGTCGGGCGCGCTCGCGTCCTATTGGCGTCTCTCTCGATGAGTCAGCCCTTGACGCACTCGCGCCCGTGAAGGCTGCCAAGCGCCTCGCTCCGCGCTCCTTTGCAGCAAGTGGAGCAACAGTGCTCAATGAGCTTAAGCTAGTTGAGAGGTTCCTCAGAGACGAGCTTGCCCTCTCAAATCGCTCGCTAGTGCTCATCTATGGCTCACATCAAGGGCCACCCTTTTCGACGCTTCAGTTTTTGCCAGCCTTTACGGGCATCCCAACGTTGCTTGCCAACTCTTACCTTGGCCTCGCCGAATCGCTCGGCGCGGCGCTGAGCACTGTGCCGGCGGGGGTGCGTGTCGCGCTATTCGTCCCTGAGGCTCACGCTGGAGAAGCGTGCACAGTGCTGCACGCCAACGCGGCGCGTGTATTCTCAGCGGGATTGGTCGCGTTGACACATTTCGCTCGTTCGCCGCCTCCCGCATGCCCTGGAGTACAAACGTGCAGTACCTACGCCACCATCACCGGCCGGAAAGCGACTATTGGCCTCCCCTATCCTGGCACCATTCCCGCCCCGCGGCTGGTTGCCCGTCAGGACGATGCCGGCCGCGTACAGCTGGTGGAGTTTGGGGCAGTGGCGCGCGAGTCGGTGCTGCGTTGGCTTGGATGCTTCTCGCGGCAGGTCGGACTGGGCCTGTCGCCGCTCGAGGCGCGACTTGGTCCCTTCTCCTCCGGAGACGCCATTGTCGACGATTGTCATATCCTTCAGGGGGCGCCACTTGCCTCTTGGGTGCTCGGCTTTTCTCGCGTGCAGGCCCTCTCGTCTCTCTTCCCGCCGAGGTCGATGATGGCGACGCCGCCCCAGCTTCGCTGGCTCCGGGAAGAGTGGGCCCTTAAGGTTGCCGTGCATTCAAGAGGCCTGTCCTGGAGGGACCGTCTGTTTGGTGGGACGGCAAAGCCGTCTCCGGTCGTCGAAATGGCACGCTTTGCAGGCTGCGCCACTGGAGGCGGAGCGGCGAGCGACGCCGACCTGCAGTTGCTGCGCCAGGCGGCCGGCTGCCAGGAGACCCGTGAGTCGTGGGGGTCGTATGAGACACTGATGATTGGGCATGGCGTAAGTAGCTCGTCGAACCACTCATACCGCATTGCGCTCGACGACGGCATCGGGGTGACCGGGTGGACCCTTCGCTCGTTTGGCCCTTACGACACCAGCGCGGGCGTCGGCCAGCTGCTCGTGGCACCGCGGGTCATCAACCGGCACCCTCTCGACGCGGGAGGCGCAAACCGCGCCGGCAGCGGCGGACGGCAAGAGGGGAAATGGTACGCGCTGCGCGACATCGTGGAGGTGCGCGGCGGCCCGATCGGCAGTCGAGTCGCGACCGTCTCAATGGTGGACAAGACCACGTTTCCGTTCCAGCTGCCGGGGGGTGAGTGGGTGGCGACGGGCCGAGTCGAGCGGGTGATGGAGGCGATCGATATCGGTGGTGTCCGCTTGCTCGATCTCGCGTGGATCACCGCCACGCCGAGCGGCCGCATCGCCGCCGTCGTCTGGCCGACCAACCAGTATGCTCAGGCTTCAAATGCGGAGGTCGAGCGCCTCGTGCACCGCTCGCTGCGCAGCCACCCGCGGGTGCGTTCCTGGGAGATTCCGTCCGTGGTGCTGCTCGGAGACGAGCCGTGGGAGTACCGCCCTCGCGCAAAGGTGCGAAGTATGCTGGTTGCCCACTTTGGACCAGCCCTCGCTGACGAAAGGTTGCGCGGTGTCGCGCTCCCGAACCCGGCGCTGCGGCGCCACGCCGCCCTCTCCCGAGCAGAGGAGTCCGGAGCCCAGAGATGGGTGGCTGTGAACAGGCGCTGCGGCGCCACGCCGCCCTCACGTCGCTCCTCCGCTCCGAGCTGGCGGCGGCGCTGGACCGCGTCGCGCCCGGCACAGCAGCGTCGCCCGCCCTCGCCGCTGCCCTCGCCGGGTGTGTGGACGGCGCTTGTCTGCTGCGCAACACGGACGGCTCGCTGCGAGAGCCAGAGCTGCGACACACGCCCTACGACGCGCAGGCGCCGCTCACATCGCGGCTACACAGGTATGACGACGAGCCGTGGCATCTGTGGGACCTCGCAGAGGCGCGTGGAGGTGGCAGCCCTACCCCGGCGGCGCTCCTCCGCCCGTTGCGACGGCTGTGCTCCGACGCGCACGCGCTCGAGCGGCTACGAGGGGTGCTCCCACCAGTGCTGCCCTCGCTCGGCATCCTGCACAAGCTCGGGATGCGCTTTAGGCTGCGGCTGCACTGCGCGTGCGCGCTGGCGACCCAGAGCCCGCCCATCGCCTTCCGTGGGGAGGCAACCTCGGCCTCGGTGCAGAAGGAGGTGCTCCGCGTCTGCCGGCCCGAGTGGGCGGGCGTTCTGTGGGCGGGCGTTTGATTCCCCGGTTGCAGGAAGAACACTTTTGCATCGCCTTGGAGCTTTTCAAGAAACCAGCCGTGTTTCCTGCACGATGGGGTTTAAGCGGCTCCAGCTCAGGTCAGAGGGCCCAGCCACTCGTCGGTTGGGTGTAAACAAACATTGCCTCTGGTCTTCAACGCACAAAGGGTGTGAATAGAGCTCTCTTGATCCTTCTGAGCACGAAGACCGCTAGAACTCTTCTGCAGACTTTAGTGTTTCCGGTTTTCATTAGCTGTGAATGTTTGTATATGCGCCCGCCGCAGACCGCCCTGTTCCACTGGGCACGCGCCACGGGCCACGAGAGCCCTGGTAGAGCCCAGCTGGCATCTTCCATCGCCCGGGTGTCGGGCTGTCTGCATACAGACGTCTCGTCGCCGTGGCCGACGCGTGGTCCGACGTGTGGAGGAGTTTGACCTCAGCCAGGCCGTCGGTGTCGGCGGGCTGACGGCGGCCGCCGGAATCGCGATTCGCTCTGCCAGCTGCCAGCAGCCTCGTGTCGCCGCTCTCGTTGGCGCAGCAGCAGCGATTGGCCTTTGCGCCGTCGCTCGACGGCGTCACCGCCCATCTGACCTGCGCAGCTCCTGCAGCTCCTGCAGCTCCTGCTGTCAGTCTTCTGCTCTCACGCACCTCACTCGCCGCACGCGGATTGTGCGCCGCGCCAAGCAGGACACGTGCTCATGCAAACAATGCGAGAACTTAGTTGCGCCGCTCCTGTGGCGGCGATGCTTTAGAGAGGAAGCGGCAGCGTGGGAAGCAAAGCAGATGGAGGCGGCGCGGCATGCCAAGGAGCTGCTGCTGGCGGAGGTTGAGCGGCTAAGTGCAGCAAGGGCCAAGAGCAAGAAGGGCAAGAAGAAGAAGAAGAATGTGGGCGTGGGCGATACGGGCGCCGCTAGGCTCAACGAGGAGATGCTGTGCAGTTAGAGAGCTCGTAGCGAGCTCGATTTTGATGAGAATTTGATGAGAAATATCTCGATTTTGAGCAAAAAAACGCCAAAAAATCGGCGCCTGCGGCGGGCCAGCCTCCGGCGGCGCCTGCGGCGGGCCGCCCGCCCCAGACCCTGTTTACACCCGAGCTATGCCCCACGACCTGAGCCGGAGCCAGCCCGTCTCTCTGTGTGTCTGCCTTGAAACACGCCAGAAACACGTACAGCAACAGTGTCCGGGGTTTCTCCTGGCGCCTGCCCCGCCTCGTCTTCGGCAGTAAAAAAGTATTCGCGCAGCGGAGAACATGGGAGCTCGCGACGGCGTGCGTCCGTTGGTGGAGAAACGACCGGCCTGTGCACCCCTCCGACAGTACTGCCGCCACCGACACTACCGCTATCGCCGCCACCACCGCCCTCGCCATCGTCACAATGCCACAAGCCTCGCCATTTCCATCGCCGCCCGAGCCCACCATTTCTGCAGCCATCCATCCGCGAATCACTCGACGGCAGCTGTCAGAATGCGATGCAGTGACTATCACGTTTGGTGCACCGGCGGGTATCTCGCACAACAATGTAGGCGGCCGCAACTCCGCGAGCGACAAGTACGCGTTGATAGACAAGGTCGGCACCTTTGACGGTCAGCATTACAACCTGAAGCTGACGTCTGCATTGGCCAACGGAGACGATCCGAACTGCAAGTCTGATGCTGAGGGGGGAGCTGAGGCGCCATGCAGCATTGCCATCAACTCGGCCTCCGGCACGGTCGACTTCTTCATCAGGAAGAAAGAGGCCCTCACCCGACCTGCGTTGCCCATTACCACTGCCCTCGCCTTCACTAACTTGCCACGGCCCGCTCCGCCACCGCCTTTGCAGATACACCCGGTCACCTTTAGCTTTGAGTTCGACAGCGGCGATCCTGTTACCCTGCCTCTGTATTCCTTCTCGGTGCGTGGCATGCGCTGTCCCACCGACCACAGCCCCATGGCGTGCCCTATACTCTGTCGGCCTCGGGTACAGGTCTTTGACGTCGGAAACGAGGAGTACCTTTGGGCTGCAGCTGAGCATGACACCTACTTTTGCGGTGGGTGTGAGACAAGTTGCTGCGGGGCGGGAAACGAGACGGATCACCTCCAAGGGCCAACTTCCCACTCCCCAGACGGCATGACGGCGTCAGGACTGCGATGGGATGCTGATCCTGACGTGACTAGCGTCGACGATGTCACCGACCCGCTGTCGATGACTGATGAGCAGCAGTCCAACTCGGTCCGATTTATCTACTCAGACAGGTCCAGCTTCACGCTTGGCTTTGGCAGATCATCATCTGGCGGCAACAGGCAACAGTTCGCAGGGGAGACGAACGTGGGTGCGCTAATCTGCCCTCCGCCATCCCCGCCGTCTCCCCCGCCGCCCTCGCCTCCTCCACCCTCGCCGCCGCCTTCGCCGCCACCGCCCTCGTTGCCGCCTCCTCTCTCCCCGGGACAGATTGCGCCACCACCGCCAAGCTCGCCTCTCTCATCCCCGCCTCCTTCGCCACCGCCTCCCTCAGCGCCCTCACCAGCATCGCCGCCGCCACTGCCACCGTCGCCACCTCCACCGTCGCCTCCACCGCCGTCTCCGCCGCCCGTTGACTGTGATGCAGTTTACAGCAACTGCCGGAACGAGCAAGATTACAGTAAGGGGGATAATGGCTGCTTGGCTTACAAACGCGGCTGGTCGGGGGGCAGCAACAACTGTCATAATTGCGGGACAACAACTCGCGATTACGTGTGCTGCGACCTGACGGAGTGCCGAGCGGCGTGCACTGACTTGTATGACGATGCGGGAACGCCCTTAAACATCGAGCGGTGCATGCAAGGCTGTACGTACATGGATGTACACGGTTCCCATTGCAAGGCTCCACCCTCGCCGTCACAGTCGCCACAGTCGCCACCGTCGCCGCCAACCCCGCCACCAACGCCCCCGCCACCATCGTCGTCGTCGCCGCCGCCGCCGCCCGCCGACTGCTCGACGTTCACCACGAAGAAGAAGTGCAAGCAGCGGGAGTCATGCCGCTGGAAGAAGAAGAAGTGCGTTGCGCGACCCTCACCGCCGCCCCCCTCCGTCTCATCGCCGCCGCCGCCCCCTCCCTCGCCCGAGGACTGCTCGACGTTCACCACGAAGAAGAAGTGCAAGCAGCGGGAGTCATGCCGCTGGAAGAAGAAGAAGTGCGTTGCGCGACCCTCACCGCCGCCCCCCTCCGCCTCGCCGTCGCCGTCGCCGCCGTCCGCGATATCATTGCCGCCGCCGCCCGTCCCGGCATGCCACCCGCTTGGTGTCTGCTCCGGCAACGACAGCCGATGCGGGCACTTCAGCGGAGGTAACCCCACGAGCAACGTCAATTTCGGGTGTGGCTCTCAGCAAGCGTGCTTGACTGCAGGTGCTGGCTGCTCCAGCAGCCACTCGTGCACAGAGGACCAGTGCCTCGGCTGTAGGGATAACTGCGACTGTATTTGGTCTGGCCCCACCACACCCGAGGAGTGTGGAACGCCCCCTCCCTCGCCCGAGGACTGCTCGATATTCACCACGAAGAAGAAGTGCAAGCAGCGGGAGGCATGCCGCTGGAAGAAGAAGAAGTGCCGAGGGGCGGATTAAGCCACCCGATGCAGAGATGCGATGCCGAAATAAGTGAAAACGCACGGTTCACGTCACAGACATGGGTAAAAGGGAGCAGGTCCCCGCCATGGGTTGGCTTGGGGTGAAAGAAAGAAATTTCTTTGCCTAGTGCCAGGTGGCAGTGCGCGCCAGTCCCGTGCCGCCAAGTTGTTGCGAGAGAGAGTTTTTTTGTAACTTGGAGCACTTGGAAGTGCGGTCATTAACCTCACTGTTCCTCACATCCAGGGCCTGGGCTAAGTGAGAAGCGCACACCCACTGCTGTCTTTGTTTTCGCAAAAAAATGGCACGAATGATGGAAAGAAAATCTCTCTCTCTCTCGAATGATGCACCCCCAAAATAAAAAGAAACAAAAGAGAGAACCCAAAAAAAGGAAAGAAATTCTTTTTGTGCACCTTTGTTAGTGCGCGCCAGTCCCGCGCGCCCCGTGCCCAGTGTTGTGCGAGGCCTTTTATCCATGTCGCGCTCCTCCTCGCGGGGCTCGCGTTCGCGCTCGCGCTCTAACTCCCCGCGCAGGCGGGGATCGCCCTCGTCGTCGCCGCGCCGGCGCCGCTCGCCGTCGCCGTCGTCAGAGCCACGCCGGCGCCGGCGCCGCTCTCGCTCGCGCGACTCCTCCGAGCCACGCCGCCGCCGGCGGTCGCCCTCTCCGGACGGCCGCCGCCGCAGGAGCGCATCGCCGGCAGCGCGTCACGGCGCAGGCCGCCCACCTCGGCGCGCGGAGGAGCCCGAGGCGCTTCCGCCGGCGGGCGCCATCTTTCGCGGCAGGGTGGTGAGCATCCGTCCCTTTGGCGCGTTTGTGGCGCTCGACGGCTACCGGAAGCACGGGCTGGTTCACATCTCGCAGCTGGCGCCTCGGCGGGTGGAGAGCGTGGAGGAGGTGCTGACCGAGGGCCAGGACGTGTGGGTCAAGGTGCTGCCGAGCGAGGACCCGGCCAAGGTCTCGCTCTCGCTCCGTCAGGTCGACCAGTCCACCGGCGCCGACTTGGGAGACGAGGCGCCGCGCAGAGGTCGTCGCAACGAGGCGGAGGCGGAGGACGGGGCGCCGCGCAACGCGGACGGCTCCTTCGCGTGGGGTAAGCTCGAGCCGCTCGAGCGCGGCGGGCCCGAGGAGGAGGAGGAGGAGGAGGCGGCGCCCAAGCAGCAGCCAAACTTTGCGCGCACCGGTCTGCGTAGATGCGGGCCGCGCCAGCCTGCCCACCGTTCGCTGAGCGGCGCCTGCCCCCATTCCCGTGCCGCGGCGCAGGCAAGCTCGCCGAGGCGAGCAACACCGTCAACGGCGTCGTGCTCAAGTCCGCGGAGCCGTCGGACGCCGCCAAGCCGACAAAGCACTGGCGGCTCTACGTCTTCAAGGGCAAAGAGGCGCGCGGAGGAGAGCCGTGCTTGCGCGCGTAGCAGTCGTGTCCAGCCCCACCGTGCGCTCGAGAGCACGAGAGCCGGCAGAGCGTACTCTGACGGATCGACTGCCTCCGGTCAGGCGCTCGAGCCGTACCACATACACCGGCAAAGCTCGTACCTCCTCGGCCGGGAGCGGCGTGTGGTCGACCTGCCACTCGACCACCCCTCCTGCTCGGTGCTCCCTCTGCCCATGCCCCCTCCTGCCCGCCCACCCCGGCCCTCGCCCGTCCCGCCCCGCCCGTCTCGTCCCGCCCGCCCACCACGCCCGCCAGAGGCCGGAAGAGCGGCCCCCTGGGTCGAGCCACAGCTCCGCCTTGCCGCCGCCGCAGGGGCAGCACGCCGTGCTCCAGTTCCGGCTGACGGCAAAGAGCGACACCGGCAAGCTCGTGCGGCCCTACCTGATGGATCTAGGTGGAGAGAGCCCACAGCTACCCTCCACTGTCCACCTCCCCAGCCCTCCGCGGATGTCCCGCCTCCGCACCGAGCGGGACCCTCCCCCCTCCCGGCAGGCTCCACCAACGGCTCCTTCATCAACGGCGAGAAGATCGAGCCCGAGAAGTACGTCGAGCTGCTGCCGCAGGATGTGCTACGGTTCGGCTACTCCTCGCGCGAGTACGTGATTATCAACGCCGACGTGTGAGGCCGCTTGTGCGCACCGCCGGCGGGCCGGTGCGGAGTGAGGGTGACCTTCGTCCATCTGCGGTGCACTTGGGGTGTCGACACTTGGAGCACTCGTGGAGGTGTGACTGAGTACTTGTAGTTAGTTAGGGGCACTCACGACCGCACACGAGTCATGACTCACTTCAAGGCAGCCGCACAGAGCGGCGGGGTCCGTGGGCCCTGGGTGTGGCCGCCGAGACGCGAGAGTCGCGCGAGAGCCCGAGACGCGAGAGCCGAGTCGGCCACACAGTCACACACACAGTCACAGAGACCCACCGACGCGCGCACGCGCCGCACGCCGCACACCCTCGGCTCGGGTGACGTCGCTCGTCGGTCGTGTCGCACGTCGAGCGCACACCTGCGTCACCTCGGTACGGCTATTTAGAAGCGCGGGGTAACTATCCGGTAAATCGTAAACACCGCTCTAACAGGTACGGTAACGGCGCAGCGAGGAGCACGCGGTGCACCTGCCGGCACCAACTTGATTCCCGGATGCGCGTCTCCCCCTCCCACTATGTGACGCCACCCCCCTCCAATCCGTAATTCCGTAAAATCGCGCGAAAAGCGCCCTAATCGACCTGGAGAGCGGCCCCCAGCCGCATGGGAGCGTGCCCCAGCTAGCAGGAGGCGTTAGACGTACTTTTCGGCGTGAACAAGGACTTTCGGCGACGTCCGTTCCCTTGGACACGTCGACAAATGGCACCGACGCAGCTCAGCATTGTGCTGGAGCGCATGCTCAACGAACTCGGGATAGCCGACCTCAGTACGTTCGAGGCTGTGCTCATGCACGATACAGGCGCAGTGGTCGACGCGGTCCGAAGCACCGCTGCAGCCGCAGAGGCTGGTGCGGCGGCTTATGCCAGCTCGGCCACGAGCAATGTTGTTGTGTCCCCAGGCAGCACTGCTACCGCTGGCGTAATCTCTGTGCAGCACAAGGGCAGCTTCTCCCGCACTCTCGTCAGCACAGACGCGCAAACCACGCTAAAGGGCTCGGACATCCATGCAGCCGCGAGTAGTGCGACTGCTGAGATGCTGCTCCGGCAGGAGTTGGAAGAGAAGTTGCGGTCACAGACCAAGGAGCTCGCTTCTGAGCAGCGCTCTGCGAACGCTATGAAGAAGGCGCTCGCGTCGGCGCGGGATGAGCTTGCTGCGGCACAAGAGCTGAGGCGCTCCGACTGCGACAACCTGAGGAGAGCGCAGCAGGCTGCTAAACGCGACATCAAAGCGGCCGAGCGGATGGCCGACCAGGCAAATCATGCAGCTCGAGCTGAGTGTGAGTGGCGTATCGGCGAGATGCGGGCCAAGATGCAGACCGAGCTGCGCGAGCAGCTCGACGCGCTGCAGATTTCGATGGAGGCAGAGGCGAGGCGCGCTGATGCCGCAGAGGCGGAGAGGTCAAGGCTGTACGACAAGATGGAGGGGATTATGCGCACGCGTGAGGGGTTGATAGTCGCACTCGCAGAGGCGCAGCTCGGCAAGCACGAATATAGTGATTGTTAAGAGATATACGTAGCGTTACAGTCGTACGGTCGTCGACCCTCCCACCGTGTGGGCCGCCCGGACCCCGGAGAGCGCTGCGCGTGCAGACAGCGCTGCGCGAGCATTGGAGAGGCCAGCCCCCGGCTTCTCAGCAAGTCGCGAGTGCTGTGTCTCTGCCTGCCTGGTAGCTGGGTGTGGTGGGGGACTCTCTGGTGGCTTTTGGTTACAAATTTACGGATTTACGGATTTACGGATCCACCCCCCTCCCTCCCCGTCCCGTGACCCGGCCGTGAGACGCGCATCCGGGAATCAAGTTGGTGCCGGCTGGGGCCATCTCTCTCGTGCTCTCTGCTCTCCGACTCTGAGACGGAGGTGCGAGAGAGTCCTGATCGATCCCCTGAGTGCTGAGAGGTGTCCTGTGCAGTCTGCGCAGACCGGAGTGCGAGAGGCGGAGAGGGACGGGGTGCACCGCCCTCTGACGCCTGTGTGAGCTGTGCCACAGCTCTGCACCTGCTGCTGATGTTTTTGACATATCTCACGACTCCTCCAGCCTCACCTCGCTCATCACCTCCCGCAGCAGCATCCACACCGCCTCGCGGCCCATCCTCGTCTTGGCGCTCGAGGGCACGAGCGGTGTCGCAGCAGGACAGCCCGCCGACTCCAGCGCACGCCGCACCTGATCCACTGTCCGGCTGCTCACCCGGCCGTCATTCTTGTCCGCCTTGGTCAGCACCACCGCGTAGTCCAGCGGGGGTGCCAGCCCACTCCCCTCCTGCTCGGAGCGCGCGGCCACGGCAGCTCCAACCATCTGCATGATTGACACGTCTGTCTCCTGAAGCGGCACCTGCGAGTCGATGAGGTGCACCACCATCCGCAGCTCTCTCCGCGACGCAAAGTACTCGGAGAGGAAGGCGTTCCAGCGCGCGCGGAGCGGCGCCGCGACCTTAGCGAAGCCGAGGCCGGGCATGTCGACGAGGTGGAACGAGCCGACTGGCAGCGGGCGGGGGCAGGGGGAAGGGGGGGGGGGGGTCGAGGAGGCAAGGCGGTGGCGGAGAGGGTGGGAGTGCGCCTTTCCTCTCCTCTCCTCCGCTCTCCTCTCGCCCCCGCTTCCGCACGCCTGCCCGCCCCTCGTTGACGGCAAAGTAGTTGTACTGCTGCGTCTTGCCCGGCGTCTTTGAGGTGTACGCGATCGCGCGCCGTCCGAGCACCATGTTGACGAGCGAGCTCTTGCCGACGTTGGAGCGGCCGACGAAAGCGACCTCGGCGAGGCCGCCGGTGGGCAGGGTCTCCATCGAGACGCCGCCCTTGACGAAGCGCACGGCGTGGACGAGCGCGTCGACGAGCACCTGCGGGAGGTGCGGGGAGGTGTGGGTGTGGGGGGGGAGAGATCACGACGTCTCGGGGAAGGGGCAGTCTATAGGGGTCGGTGGCGAGGGGTGCGGGGGAAGGGGCTGCAGTTGAGCCGCTCGCCGGCGCGCGTCTCTCCGCGGGGGTGGAGGCGGCGGCGGGGCGGGGGTAGGGCCAGGGCGGAGGCCGGGGCGGGGGCCGGGGCGGGGGCAGGGCCGGGGCCGGGGCGGGTCGCCTGCAGCAGCTCTGCGTCGGGAGCGATGCCGCCGCTCTCGGCCGCCTCGAGGCAGGCGTAGACGCCGCCCACGCAACGCGCCTACGCGAGACGGCGTGGCCGCGTCCTGGGCACGGCCACTACACACGCCCACCCCCGCGCCGCGCGCCTTGCCAAACGCGCGCGTCAGAGCCTTGAGTGTCTCGAGGGGAGGAGCCGCCGCCGCAGCCGCGCGAGCCGTGCGCGCGAACCTGAGCGCCACCGCCTCGGCCGCCGGCGCGTCGCCGCGCCGTAGCTGCTCGAGGGCGAGAGCCGGCAGCATCGACCGGCTCGCAGCGACCCAGAGGGGCGCTTGGCCGGCGAGCGCGTCTGCAAGCCTCGCCGTTTGGGAGGCGGGAGAGGGCGGCGCAGAGCACGTGTCACGCGGCGGCGGCGAGCGCGCGTCGATGTCCGCGAGCAGCGCCGTCGCCTCGGCCACCCCGTCGGCCGCGGCGGAGGTGCCGCGCCGGAGCAGCCGAGAGAAGAGCACGGCGGTCGTGTTGCCGTCCGCGAGCAAGGGGTGCGCGTGCGTGTGGTCGCGGTGCAGCTGCAGCGCGAGGTCGACACGAGACAGCTTGAGCAGCGCGCGCATCACCGCGGCGTAGCTCTCGCCCACCGGCAGGACCGCGCCGTCGGCCGCGTCGTACAGCTCACGCGCCTTGTGCGGCTGCTTGTTGCGGACGCACGCACGAAGCGAGCCTGCAAACTCGCCCGCCGGGCCGCTCGCGAGCCCAGTGGGAGGCGACTGCGCCGATGCCGCCGGCGCGTGCGACGCCGGCTGAGGCTGGCCGCGCCTCCGCCGAGCGGCGCGCTTGCCTCCGGCTGCCGCGCCAGCCTGCATGAATACGGCCGAGCCGGCCGAGCGCCGGTGCAGCACCGGCGCGCGGGACGAGGGCGGCACGCAGCGGGACAGCGACAAGGCGGAGGTGGTGGTGATCGCGAGGAAGAGCTGACTGCGCGAGCGAGCAAGCATTGCCAGCAACGAGACGAGAGATACTACTGCGGTAATGACAAAGGCACGCCCAGCGAGCGGGGTGCGCACCACTGTGCCTCTGTGTTCGTGGAGGGCGCCTGGGTCAGGCGGCGTTTATTTTTGCTTGGGCGGCACTCATGATGAAATTCTGCAAAAACCCTGGCCGGCCCCTGCGGTGCCCCTACCTACCTACCTACCTACCCTACCCTACTTATGGGAAACTAAAAAAGAAATCACCGGATGGGTGAAGGTGGGGTACTATACCAACTAGAGTGATGGTTGGTGGTACTCTCCTGCATCCACAGTCCTTCTTGTGACATGGGAGGCCACTCTCAAGCCCTACAAGCATCAGATCACCCATTTGGGGAGGGTTGACATCGTGATTTCCGCGGAAAATTTCTTTTTCTGAAAATTCCAGAGAGGGAAAACCCCGACGGGAGGGCCCAGACCTACCCTACCTACCCCGTCATGAGTGCCGCCCAAGCAAAAATAAACGCCACTTGCCTGGGTCTAAATTTAGTGCGTGTGGACCCGATGCCGAGCGTCCGGCCAACTGGGTGCGCTTCTTAGCTCCCCGGTCCTGGACGTGAGGTTAATGACCGCACTCCAAGTGCTCCAAGTGTGAATGAACTTTAGTGATAGTTTAGTGCGCTATTTAGTGTGTGTTCGAGTGCGTGTGTAGTGCGACTTTAGCGCAAATTTAGCGCATATTTAGTACATATTTAGCACATATTTAGCACATATTTAGTGTGTTTTATCTCCAATTTAGCGCCACATTTAGTTCACTTTAGGTGCGGGCAGCTGCAGTACATTTAGTGTGGGTCCCGCATCTTTAGTGCGGGCACGCAACTTTAGCACGGCTTCCCAGCCACACCACAGCTGGCCAGGGCCGCGTGCTTTGCTCCTTGGCTGCCAAGAATGCACCACAGGAGATGCCTGGCCCCTGCCCTCATGACCCAAAGGCAGGCTCCCAGTGAGGCTAGATATGCCGCCCTCCAGAGCAAGATCTCCCGACTGAGCACAGGCACAGCACCGATTCCCGAGAGGAGGACCAGCACAGTTGAATGCGCCACCGCAAGCACCACCTCCGACCGCACAACCCATGCTGTGCCCGTGACCACCAGCTGTAATAGAGTAGAGGTGAGGGTCGGTCTTGGAATTTCAAAACCAATGTTGAACCAAAGGATGAAGGATCCAGACCACGATGACAGAAACGGCCAAATGGCAATGATCCATGTAGTCACCGCAAGCAGCTTTACATACGCGTGTGCTTGTAGCATGTTGGATCCAGCCCCAGTCATGCACCTCCTAAGTGCAATGGCAAATACACCGAAGAAGAAAATGCTCAATAGCTCGATGCCAATGCTATGCACTATACGCTCGAGGCATGGGAGGATGACTGCTTGCAGAATCACGCCGTGCACGTGAGCATCAGAGTATGCCGGCCCTTGACGGGTGGAGGATGCGCCCACGGCATCTGGGGCGAGGGCAAGCTGTGCAGCACGTACAGCCTGGACAAATGCTTCGCTGCGTGCCTCACTTGGTGGAGACGTCGCATCTTGATCACTCAGGTCCACGAGTGCTCGATGCAGACCTCGCGTATCCAGTGCCAGCAGCTCCAGCCTGCAGCTGTCCCTGGATGCTTTCAAAGACACACGCTGTGACATCACGCAGCTCCGTCCGGCCGCTTGAATTTGTTCCAATTCTCAGGCAGCTCAAAGAAGAAGCAGCTCAAAGGAGAAGCAGCCCGGAAAGCACCTTTTAGGCTGATATTCAGCTGAAGAACCTTCGTTCGGTTGGGGATGCGGATGGGACGGGGAACTTTTGCGAGTGGGCAGGGAACTGCAGGTGGGGGAGAGGGGGAGGGAGGCCCAGCGAGGGGCTGCGGCTGGATCCTACTGCGCGGCTGGACTAAAGACGCACTAACTAACTAAACCTCGCTAAATCTGGATGTGTGGAAAAAAACGGAGATCGCGAAAAAAGAAAAACGCCGTTGCTTTGACAGACAAGTTCACACACCTTGCTCAGACGGCGAGTTCGCGCTAGGCTCAGTACGGCGAGTTCGCGCGGTGCCGATGCAAACGTCGTCCGTGCGCGCTGAGATCGACGAGAGCTGCGAGACGCTCATCTGGATCACCACGGGCATCTTCCTCATCAGCATCTTCCTCAGCATACTACGGCCCGAGCCGACGCTTGCCGTCTGCCTCTTTGGATTTTACGGAGCACATACGCACTCAAAGGGTGAGCCTGCGCGCGCGCTACGGCGGACGCCGCACAGGCGTGTCTCACTCGCGGGCCTCCGACGCAGGCGCGGTGCGCGCCTTCTGGGTCTACCTGCTTGTGTCGGTGCTGATTGACGCGCTGTGGCTGTACCAATACTCCGCGCTGCAGCCCTTCACGTGGGAGCAGATGCAGCAGATGACGCGGCGCGAGCAGGTCGCCGTGGCGCTCACCGCGGTCAACGTGCTCTACAAGCTCGTCGTGGTCGGCGTGAGCGTGCGGCTGCAGATGCTGCTGGGCGCCTTTGAGGCGGCAGAGCTGCAGGGCGACCGGCCGGGAGACACCTCGGCCGCGGGCGGCACTTCGAACGGCGGGCGCGCGGCCTCGGGCAGCCTCGCCGCGCAGGCGCGCCAACCCGCCCGCCCGCCCGCGGCCGGGGCTCCTCCCACCACCTCCTCACTCTCGCAGGATGCTTCCGCAAAGGTTTGACAGAGGCTCTGTCGCACTCCTTTCGCGCTCTCGTGTTGTACGGCTGTGAGTGTGGGGTGGCACGGCAGAAGCTGCGCGGCACGCTCGAGCCACGCGCACTTCCTCTCGCTTCGCCATCCACACGCGTCACTCTTGCCCTAGCATCGCTCCCGCCGCCCGGTGGTCGTGTGGCACACAGTGGCCGTGGTTTGTGTTATACGATTGTTACTAACGTAATTGTGCAGGGCATATGAACGTGTTCTCACACTTACGGCTCTTATATAAGTTCCCAACACGCGGGTGGACACCGCTCTGAGCGAGCTAGGGCGCGGCACATGCAGAGACCAGACTCCACGGTCTCCACACTCCAGAGAGTCCCCACACAGTGCACAGTCCACACTTGCCGGTGACTCTCGAGCAAGTGACTAGCTCTCTCTCTCTCTCCAGCGCTCACTTCACTCTCTTCACGCTGCCCGGCTGTGACATTCGGGCCTGCGACCCCGCGGCGGCGGTGTGTTGCGGCGTGAGGTCGATCGTGAAGGTCCACCGCTCCTGCCACTGCAGGAACTTCGCGTGCACCTCGTCGATCGCGTCGCGCGTCGCGTCGTCTGGCCCGCGGCACTGCGCGCAGCGCAGGCAGGAGGAGAGGAGCTCCTCGAGGACGTCGAGCGGCGAGGCGGGTACGCCGATCGACTTGTCGCCCGAGGGAAAGGCGACCGTCAGGTAGAATGCGATTGGCGGCTTCACCTGCGCCGGCGCCTCGAGCGCCGCCGCCGCAGCCTCGAGCGCCTGCCGGCCGGCGGTGGTGCCGCGGTGGCGCCAGATGTTGAGCTCGCGGATGGGCGCCTGGAGGGTGGGCGAGTAGAGCGCGAGGGCCAGCTGCTCGAGCGCGGGGTCGCCGAACCCGTTCCCGCCCAGCCGGAGGTCGCACAGGTTGCGGAAGCAGCCGTCGGCGAGCGCGTCGGCGAGCGAGCACACGCCGGCGTCCGTCAGGCGGTTGTGCGACAGGTCGAGGCGGACGACGTGGCGGAGCCCGCCCTCCCTGCCGGCCGCGATCAGCTCGCCCAGCCCCGCGTCCGTCACCCCGTTGGCAGACAGGTCTATCCTCACGCACTGCGCAAGCCCGCGCCCGCCGTCACACGCGTCTGCCAGCGCGGCGCACGCCGCGTCGCCGGCGCCGCGCGCGTGCCAGTCGACCGTGATGGCGCGGCCGAGGTCGAAGCACGCGTCCCGCAGCCAGCGCGGGGCGTCGATCGGCCTGCGGACTGGCTGCGGCCTGGGTCCGGAGGCGACCGCCGCCGCCGCCCCATCCGAGCCAGGCGCCTCGGCCTCGTGCTCCTCCTCCGCCGCGGTCACCTCGGACGGCTCGGACGCCGGCACCTCGGCCGTCGACACCTCGGTCGACGGCGGCGGTGGAGGCGGCGGCGCCGCCGGCTCGAGCGGCGGCGCGGCGGCCGGAGACGGAGGCTGCGGAAGCTCTGGCGGCGGTGGCGGCGCGGCCGGCGCGGCGACGCGGCTCCTGCTGCGCCGCAGCTTGGGAAGCAGGGAGGAGAGACCGCGGCGAGCGCGCGGAGAGGAGAGGCTACCTGCAGACATAGTAGCTGACATGGCCGGCGTACTCCTTGAGTACGTCCCATTACTTTTACACACATGTCATGTACAACATGTACATGTACATGTGCCGATTCCCACGGCCAAGGCTTTTCCTTATCCCCCAAGGCGCGCGATACATCTCTACTCTTCGAGGTAGAAGCAAGCAGCGGCATCCGACACTGCGTGAACAAAGAGAAAGAAGAAAGCCCGGCCGCAAAGATTTTTCCAGTGTACTCTCTCCAGTGTACGTGGCTCTTACGTACATTCCCGGAGGAGGACTGCTGACAGGGTTTGCGATGAGGAGTGACCCGAAGGGTTTGACAGCGGTAGATTCTTTCATCATTCAGCAGTGGTCCCTTCATCATCTACCGGTGTGTCTACGAGCGAGTCCGCCTCATGAAGTCTGGCCGGTTGTAACTGGTCTCTCCTTCCTCCTGACGCCCGCCAGGGAGAGCGAGCGAGCGAGAGCGCCAGACAGGGGGGGCTCAGATGTTGTTGATGGAAAGGTGAAAAAGTAAAACAAAACCGCTGTCGTGGATGCGCTTGCCTTTTTTGGTCGGTCTGCACTTCCCGCCACCACAAGAACGCTTCGACATTCTATCACGGCCATGCCGAGGCTCTCGTTCCTCGCGCTCCTGCCGCTCGCGCACGGCGCCGAGCTCGCCCTCTCCAACCCCTCCTTCGAGTCGGCTGGCGGCTGGTCCAACCTGGCGACAGGCGCTGACGAGATCTGGGTGCGCATTGCATGATGCCCCGCACGGGTCACTCTTGGGCGTAACCACCTCACCACTCTCACCCTATGCTCACGTCACCCGGCAGGCACCCGTGGCCGGCTCGAGGTATGCGACGGTGCCGGCCGGCACCGAGCTGAGCCAGACGCTGTCTCACCAAGTACTGCCCGGAGCCACTTATACCCTCGTCGCGTACTCGCGCTCCATCCACCCCGAGTACGCGGGCAAGCTGCCGGACAACCTCAAAGGCCCGACAGATGGAGTGAGGTACGACAGCGTCACCGCGGTGTCCAGCCTCAAGGTGGGCGGCACCGCCGTCGCAGCCTCCAGCGCCCTCGTGAGCCCGCCGCGGCTCAGCGGGCCGGCCGTCACCATCCCATCTGATGACGGCACCAACGTCTTCTTTGACGGCGAGTACCGTCTGCACGTGGCTGGTAGCATCGCGTGGCAGCAGGTGGCAGAGGACCCGATCGCGGACCCGTGGAAGGACGGGGGCGAGCTGGTTGAGTGCATGGCGCAGGCGCCGATCATCACGCCGCAGGGGCTCAAGGCCGTCTTCTGCACCTTCTACGACGACTCCGAGTTCCGCCTCATCAGCAAGATCGAGATGGTCCGACTCGGCGGCAGCGCTCCCGACCAGTACACCTTCGCCGACGACTCGGGAAACGACGGCGAGCGCGACGCGGCACTCGCATACGCCGCGCGCCCATCTGACGGCCCCTCTCGCCCTCTCAGACGCCGGCCCCATCTACGAGACGGTCCTGAAGCACGTGGGCAGCGAGCGCCCGTGGGCCATCGACGCACACCTGTACTACGACGAGGAGGCCGGCAGGCTGTGGATGTCGTGGGGCGGGCATGTGGGGTGGGTCTGCGAGCTCGACCCAGCCAGCGGCAAGATCCTCGACCCAAACACAAACGCCCCTGTCGCGAGCCCCGACTTTTCGAGCCACGCAACCTCTCCGCTGCCGGTGCACACGCGCATCCTCGGCTGGGCCGGAGGCATGATCCCGGCCGGCTACCCGCCGGATGCCTTCGCGCCGCCAGACTGGTGGGACGACGAGGGCGACCGCTGGAGCACGGCCTACATGGAGGGCCCTGCGATATGGAAACAGGCCACCGCAGAGGGCACCTTCTGGTACGCGTGCGGCACATACGGCGCCCTGGACGCAAATTACAACATCCGGTGCTGCAGAGCGCCGTACGCATCGTCGGCGCTTGGGCCCTACTACGACCGCGCGGGCATCGCGTGCACGAGCTGGGACCCACAGGTTGAGCGGTACGGCGCGACGATGCTGCTCGCCGCCGACGGCGACCAGCTCGTTCCGGGCCACCCGCATTTTTGGAGTGAGGCCTCCGGGGCGACGTTCGTCGGCTTTGACGTCCGCAAGGGGTCCTCCACGGTATGCTCCAGCCCCATTGCATCCCACACGTCCGCAAGGGGTCCTCCACGGTATGCTCCAGCCCCATTGCATCCCACACGTCTTCTCCTGACCTCCCTCTCCCCTCTGCCAGGACGGCGCCGCCGAAGACGTGATGGGGATCCGCAAGGTGAACTGGGTCGACGGCTGGCCCTCCATCTGGACGCGGCTCGAGACGCAGTGGACGGCAGACGCGGCGAGCGCTGGTCAGGTGCTCAGCGTTGCGCTGAAGAATGCGGGAGAGGCCTCGTCGACTGCCGGGTTCGATGTGGTGTCCCTCCACGTGTCGCTGCCCTCGGCCTCGCCCTCGCCCTCGCCGCCACAATCGACGCCAGCTACGTGCTCCCCGTCCTCCTCGAGCACGGTGCTGGATACGGTGATTGTCGGTGCCGGCGGCGCCGGCCTCTTCGCCGGATACACCTTGCAGCGGAATGGCTACGAGTCCTTCCGGCTCCTGGAAGCGTCGTCCAGTGTTGGTGGCCGGATCCGGGACGTCCCTGCAGACTTTACCGGAGACGGCTTCCGGCTCGACCTCGGCGCGGCGTTCGCGTTCAATGGCATCGACGGGTTGCGACAGGTTCTTGACCTGAACGAAGATGAGGATTTTGACACCCCGGTGTCCCTCTTCGACCCTGACAACACGCGTTCGTGCGACATCAGCAGCGGCGGCAGCGTGACGTGCGAGACGCTCGATGGGTCGGGAATTGTCGAGGATGTGTTTGTCAACGGAACCTACTTTGGCTACCTCTCCAGGTACGTCATCCCGTATGTGAACAGCAAGATCGAGCTGGACACCCGCGTGACCACGGTGAACTACAGCGATGGTGACTGGGTCACGGTCTGTACCTCGAGCGGGCAGACCTATCAAGCCAAGTCCGTCGTCATGGCCGTGCCACTCGCCGTGCTCCAAGACGGGGCCATTGCCTTTGAGCCGCCCCTTCCACCAAGCTACCGGAATGCGATAGATTCGAGGCCAAACGTGGGCGGCCTTCGCTTCTGGGTCGAGTTCAGTGAGCGGTTCTACGCGGAGAACTTGCAGATCTTCCGAGAGGACAGCTTTGCGACGTACTACTTCGACGCGACGTTTGGCGAACCCGCCGCAAGCGGCCGGCATATTGTAACCAACCTGGGCATCGGACAGAACGGTCTTGCTGCTTTATCTGACGACGAGGTTATCGAACGGGTCCTTGACGACCTTGATCGAGTGTACAACGGAGATGCCCGGCGGACGTACGTGCAGCATCGTGTCCAGAACTGGTCGGCCGAACCGTCGCGAGGAGTCTTCTCGGACGATTCGCCCGGCGTCGAGCCGCACTATGACGTCTATGCAGAGCCAATAGACGGCAGGCTCTACATCGCCGGCGAGTTCGCCATCGAGGGCCGGGCCTTTTTCGAATCCGGCAGGAACACAGCTGAGAAGATCATCGAGGCGTCGCCCTCGCCCTCGCCCTCGCCCTCGCCCTCGCCCACGCCCTCGCCCTCGCCCTCGCCCTCGCCACCCACTTGGATCGAGCTCGCTTCTCGCAATACCAACACGTGCTCTTCGGGCTTCAGCAAGCCACGCTCGGAGGCTCAGTGCCGTGCGGCGGCGCAGATCCTGGCGGCATTAGGCTGCGGAAGGTGCGCAGTGGAATGGGACGGTACGGAGAGGGACAGTGGCGCGCCAAGCGGCTGCTACGCATGGGACGGAGAGCTCCTCTATTGGAACACACACGGCAGAGGCGGCTCCAACCGCGACTCGCAGCCGGTATGCGTGAGCGACGACGCCGGCTTCCTTGCAGGTGCGGCATTGCCCGCTCTCCACCACACATCATCCCGCTGAACTCACGCGGTCCGCACGCCGCCCTTCCGCGCGCTGCAGGCAATACGCTCTTCCTCGGCGACAGCGACATTCAGCTCTGGCAGACCCACGAGCGCTTCGACGTCTCGTACAACGTGGGCGTTGGCGGCTATACGTGCAAGGATGTGCTCAATGATGGGCTCGATGCGCTCCTCAGGGAGTTTGCGCCAGCGGTCGCCGTGCTCGTCTGCGGTGAGAACGACCTCGCAGACGGCACCGGAGTCACTAACACATTCAAACGCTTCCGCGACGTGGTGAATGCGATGCGCGCTCGCGGCACGAGGGTCGTGTACATGGGCACAAAGCCAGAGCCCGACACCACCAACCTCCACTCCAAGTACCGGAGGTATGACGCACAGATCCGGGATTTCGCGACGTCGCTCGCGGCGGGCCAAGGACTGGCGCCGTTGGCAATGGTGGACGTGTATGCCAGCTTTGAGTCACTTGGCAATCCGACCTCACTCTACGACTCGGACGGATTGCATCTGAGCAGTGATGGCTACGCATACTGGACGGCCTGGGCTACCGCGGCGATCGCCGAGGAAGCTTGCATCGAGTGGCGAAGTGGCGTATGCGTGTCCTCGATCTCGCCCTCCCCGTCGCCGAGCCCGTCGCCCTCACCGAGCCCGTCGCGCCGCAAGGTCGAGTGCGGCCGGGCCGGGCGCTGCTCGGAGGACGCGGGGTGGGCAGACCCGAGCGAGAAGCACGAGGTGCGCTGCTGCTCCGACACGAACCTGGGCGGCGGGTGGCGCCAGAACGGCGGCTGCGACGTGTGGGCCGAGTCGAACGGGCCAGAGATGGGCGACTGCCACGAGCGCAAGACCTTCGTCGAGGCCGCGGCCATCTGCAGCGACGCCGGCGCCCGGCTCTGCACCGCCGCAGAGCTGCGCGCCGACTGCACCCGCGGCACGGGCTGCGGCCACGACGCTCAGTTGGTCTGGTCGAGCGATGCACAGGCGTCGCCGTCGCCATCCCCAGCGCCATCCCCAGCGCCGTCCCCGAGCCCGGTGCCGTCGCCCGGGCCCGCGCCGCCGTATCCGACCGAGCCGTGCGCGGGCAGCGCCAACTGCGCCGCCCCCGACGGGCCGAGCCAGCAGTGCGAAGACGACGCCGGCCCTCCGTGGGAGGACGACCCCACGAGCCGCCGCTACCACGACGGCACGCCGGCGACGCCCGTGCTGGCCGACGGCGCCTGCCCCGATCCGCTCGCCGCGTCGTGCGCCGCCAAGGGCGTCAAGGCGGCGCACCTCGACGGGCCGATCGACTGCGGCGGCGGCGGCTGGTTCTGCCGCATCCTGCCCCAGGCAGGGTGGGTGCCCGAGGGCGGCTTCCGCGACTCCAACTTTGCGCACTGCTCCACCCCCGACGCGGACGAGCTCGACACGGACGGCCACTGCCACGGCTCGGACACGGAGGACACGTACGGCTGGTGGGTCCGCGACCACTGGCATCGGGGCTACGCCGGCACGCTGCACTGCTGCTGCGGCTGGGGCCCGGAGGCGCTCGGCGGGGTGGTCAACCGGTGCGACTACCGCCGCTCGATCGAGCCGTCGCAGCTCGACTCGTGCCGCGACGCCAACGAGGACCATCCGCCCGGCTCGCCGCTCTTCGACTTTGACGCGGGCGGCTCGTGCGAGGCGTACCCGCTCAAGCCCGACCCGGTCGACGCGACCCCGGGCCAGTGCTGGACGGTGACGCACTTTGCCGATCCCGAGTCCGTGCCGAACCCGTCCGACCCGGTGCCAAGCCCCAGCCTGCCCGCGCCCGCGCCGAGCCCGTCGCCTGGGCCCTCGCCGTCGCCGTCGCCGTCACCTCTCCCCGCGCCGTCACCCTCGCCCTCGCGGCCGCTGCTCACGAGTGGCGACAGTCGATGCTGCAGCCAGACGTGGAATCAACCAGAGCAAGGCATGATCTCTCAGCAACGGCGCTACTCAGTATCTGTGCCAGCAAGCGGGTCTGAGGCGCGCCTGCCACTGATCATCGCGTTGCATGGCGCCGGCGGGGATGGGACCTCCATGCTGGGTGAGGCGCTGGACGGCCCTCTCGCGCCATTCCGGCAGAGCCACATCGTGGTTGCTCCGACTGGCTACGACAGGGGGTGGAACATCTACTCCGAGGGCACCAAGGCGCCCGACGTCGACTTTATCGCGCAGCTCGTCGACGTGCTGGCCTCGTTCAGGAACGTTCGCCCCTCCGGCATCGTGCTCTACGGCTGCTCCAACGGCGCCGCCCTGATTCATCGCCTGATGATCGAGCTCGACGATGACCGCATCACCGCCGCCGTTGCCGACGGAGCGCAGCTCACTCGCAAGCAGTTCCACGACGACTCCTTCTACGTCGGCGGCGTAGACAATGAGTACGAGCTCGCGACGACGCTTCCGCAACTCGGCTCACGCGAGGTTCTGTTCACCCACGGCACCGCGGACGGCGTGATCCCATACGACGGCGGATACGTGGACTTCCTGGACGTGACCTTCCACTCTGTGCAGGCGGCCGCGCAGGCTTACGCCTCCAAGATTGCGATTGCAGCGGGCTCGAGCACCACCACCAGCGGCAGCTACGAGACGACGAGCTACGCTGACGGCAAGGTGCAGGTCGTTGCAAAGGAGCGTGGCGGCCACTGCATCCTCTTTGAGCAGAGGGGCGAGCCGCTACGTGCCGCCTTCGCCGGCATCGTGGAACGGGCGAGCGAAGCGCCGCCGCCTGTTCAGACGCACCGCATCAGCTGGGGATTCGACATCTCCCAGGCCAATGTCACAATCCGACCCGGCGATACAGTCACTTGGATGTTCGATCAGGCCGATATCCCGCACGACGTGGTCAGTGGCCTCCGTGACGCCGCGGACGCTGGCAGTCTATTCAAGTCGGAGCGGCAGTCAACCGGCGAGTTCAGCTACACCTTTGCCAACACGGGTGTCTTCCCATATCACTGTACGCCACACTTCTCGATGCGTGGTGCGATCACCGTGACTGAGGATCCGCCCTCGCCCTCGCCGTCGCCCTCGCCATCGCCCTCGCCCGCCCCGACGGCGCGCCGCAAGGTCGAGTGCGGCCGGGCCGGGCGCTGCTCGGAGGACGCGGGGTGGGCAGACCCGAGCGAGAAGCACGAGGTGCGCTGCTGCTCCGACACGAACCTGGGCGGCGGGTGGCGCCAGAACGGCGGCTGCGACGTGTGGGCCGAGTCGAACGGGCCAGAGATGGGCGACTGCCACGAGCGCAAGACCTTCGTCGAGGCCGCGGCCATCTGCAGCGACGCCGGCGCCCGGCTCTGCACCGCCGCAGAGCTGCGCGCCGACTGCACCCGCGGCACGGGCTGCGGCCACGACGCTCAGTTGGTCTGGTCGAGCGATGCACAGGCGTCGCCGTCGCCATCCCCAGCGCCATCCCCAGCGCCGTCCCCGAGCCCGGTGCCGTCGCCCGGGCCCGCGCCGCCGTATCCGACCGAGCCGTGCGCGGGCAGCGCCAACTGCGCCGCCCCCGACGGGCCGAGCCAGCAGTGCGAAGACGACGCCGGCCCTCCGTGGGAGGACGACCCCACGAGCCGCCGCTACCACGACGGCACGCCGGCGACGCCCGTGCTGGCCGACGGCGCCTGCCCCGATCCGCTCGCCGCGTCGTGCGCCGCCAAGGGCGTCAAGGCGGCGCACCTCGACGGGCCGATCGACTGCGGCGGCGGCGGCTGGTTCTGCCGCATCCTGCCCCAGGCAGGGTGGGTGCCCGAGGGCGGCTTCCGCGACTCCAACTTTGCGCACTGCTCCACCCCCGACGCGGACGAGCTCGACACGGACGGCCACTGCCACGGCTCGGACACGGAGGACACGTACGGCTGGTGGGTCCGCGACCACTGGCATCGGGGCTACGCCGGCACGCTGCACTGCTGCTGCGGCTGGGGCCCGGAGGCGCTCGGCGGGGTGGTCAACCGGTGCGACTACCGCCGCTCGATCGAGCCGTCGCAGCTCGACTCGTGCCGCGACGCCAACGAGGACCATCCGCCCGGCTCGCCGCTCTTCGACTTTGACGCGGGCGGCTCGTGCGAGGCGTACCCGCTCAAGCCCGACCCGGTCGACGCGACCCCGGGCCAGTGCTGGACGGTGACGCACTTTGCCGATCCCGAGTCCGTGCCGAACCCGTCCGACCCGGCGCCAAGCCCCAGCCTGCCCGCGCCCGCGCCGAGCCCGTCGGTGGGGCGCACGCTCGAGTGCGGCAGGCGTGGCAGGTGCGGCAGCGGCGCCGGCCAGTGCTCGGCTGCCGATACCTTGCACGAGGTGCGCTGCTGCTCCGACTCGCCCATCAACGGCTGGACAAAGCGTGGGGACAGCTGTCCGTGGGCGGAGTCGGACCGCGGCATGGATGGCTGCCACCATGACAAGCCTCTGCTCGAGGCCGAGGCCATCTGCAGCGACGCCGGCGCCCGGCTCTGCACCGCCGCCGAGCTGCGCGCCGACTGCACCCGCGGCACGGGCTGCGGTCACGACGTCGATCTGATCTGGTCGAGCGACGCGTGCGATCCTGACGACGACCGGCGCCAGCTCTCGAGCTCTTCTCAGCGGCGACTGAGCTCGTTCGCTCCCCTCGCAGCGGACGGCGGGTCGGCGCACAGCTCCGCGCAGCGCGAGAGCGCCGCGGTTCCTTCTCCGCTCCTTGCGGTGGGCGCAGTCCTGGCGCTGGCCGCCATCGCGTGGACCGTTGCTCGGCCCGAGCGCGACTCCACCACGGTCACAGCGGAGCCGACGGCGCCTGGCTCCGGCGACTCAGCGATGGCGGTCTGAACCGGTTAGCCAGGGCACGCGCTCTCTCCTCCTTCACTCTTCGGCGGAGTACGTCTGGTTTCCTGGTTGACTATCTATTGAAGCCGAGCCGCCGCATGACTAGCTGTTGACTAGCTTCGGGGGGCTATTTCTTGTTTATTACTGTTTAATTCTCGTTATCGCTGTCAGGATCTTAGCACTTGCACGCAAACTTCTTTTTGCAGGTGTACCTGTGTTCGTGCCAGAGGCCACAAGGCGACATTATAAGTCTTTTTGTGACGGATATTTTTGCGCGCACAATTCCTTTTGCACCAGTGCGCGCCAGTCCCGTGCCCAGTAAAAGAAAGAAAGAAAACAGCCAACCCAAGGGAGGGATGGGAGGACGGCACGCCGCCACCACACAGGGATTTTAAGGAGAGGTGTGTGATGCGCTAGCCGTCGCCCACCCTAGGGAGTCTGCCTCTTCCTATCTCTCTTCGCAGTCTCTCGCCGCTTCTCGCTGCAAGGGCAAAAATTCTTTTCCACCATGCATTCCATGCATCTTGCGACGCCAGTCGGGCGTCTGAAGGAGGTGATGACTCTCTCGGCGACCGACGTTTTCGAGCGTGCGATCGAGTCTGACACGCCGGCGTACCGCGAGGCGCTCGGAGTGGCCAAGCGCGACGTGGTCGGAATGACAAAGACAGTGGGACTCGCCGTCGAGAAGGCGGCAGAGTACCAGCGGGCGCTTGCGGCGGCGGCGGCGGCGCGGCGCGACCTGCAGCGCGTGCTCCTGCAGGCTGTGCAGAGTGCTCCGGACGGCGGCGAGCCGCTGCGCCTCGACGGCCTCGCCGCAGCCTTTGAGCAGCTCGAGCAGGCGGATGTCTTGCAGCAGCAGCAGTTGGCCCAAAACGTGCTCGAGCCGCTCGCCGGGCTGCTCGACGATCCGGTGGGCCTCGCGGCGTGCGCGCGCCTCTCCTCCGCCCACGCCTCGAGCGCGTCCGATTTTGCAGAGGTGCGGCCGTCGTGCTCCCTCCCCGCGCCTCCTGCTCACCCCTTCCGCGCTGCCTCACGCCTCACGGCGCGCTCCCCTCTTCTTCCCCACACCGTCCCCACACCGCCACAGGCGCTGGCGGATTTCCTCTCCCTGGAGGGGGAGGGCTCCTCCGCCGTCGCGGCGCGCGCCCACGCCAAGTCCACCGCCAAGGCGACGGCCAAGATGGCGTCTGCGATGGGATCCACCCTCGGCTCTCGCCTCGGCGCCGGTTTCGGGGCGCTGCGCTCGCGCCTCAAGCAGGTCATCTCCGACATGCGAGGAATCATAATATTCACACACGAGTAATCATCATGATCGCGCCAGCAGGAGATCTCCGACCTGACCGGCGCGGACGAGTCGCCCCGCCCGTCGGCCGCCGACTCTGGCAGCGGAGAGGCGCGCGGCCGGGCGAGGGGCGGAGCCGTCACGGGGCCGTCACCCGGACCTTCACCCGGACCCTTCCTGGAGCCGTCCGAACAGGCGGGCGCGGAGGCGGACGAGGGCGGAGGGGTCATGCCGGACTCGGCGGCGGCGGCGCTCGGCGCTGCGGCGGACGCCGTCGCGGCGGCGGCGAGCGACGTGTCGACCACAGCGCGCGAGGCACTGTCCGGCAGCGCGGCTCTCGCTTCGACGCAGGCGCGGGTCCTCAAGCACGAAGAGGCGATGCTGCGGGCGCGGCACGCGCTCGAGTCGGCCGTCGCCCAAAAGACGGCGGAGACGCGAATCACGCTCAACAAGGCGCGGCCCGACCCTTCCTCCCCCCCGCCTCGCCCGACCCTTCCTCCCCGCCTCGCCCGACCCCTCACACCCTGCCTCGCCCGACCAGCCCTCCGGTCGCCGCCCCTCATCCTCCCCCCCCTGCACCCCCCCCCCCCTTCATCCAGGCGCTCTGCGGCCTCGTCCACGCATCCCACTCCCGCGCCTCTCGCGGCGAGGAGCTGCTCGCCCCCGTCGAGGCTGCCGTCAAGCAGGCGCAGGCCGAGAGGAGGAGGCCGGCCGAGATCGGCGGAGATCGGCCGAGGCCGGCGGGGCTCCGAGATCACCCGAGAGCAGACGAGGCCGCCCGAGGCTTCAGTCGAGCAGAGCAGCTTCTTGACTCGCACGCTGCCGCGCGCTGCCCGGCCAGGTCGAGGCGGACGCCGACACGCGCTCGGGCGCGCTCGTGGCGGCCGCCGCGGTGCACAAGGAGCAGGGCGAGGCGGTGGCCGCGCTGTGCGCCGCCCTCTCCTCCTCGCCGCCGTCCGAGGTTGCGGTGCCCGAGTCGCTCGCGCGCGGGTTCGTGCCGATGCTGCCGGCTGCCGCGCCGCCCGCCGCCGCCGCCGCGGACGAGGGCAAGTTCCAAGCGGACGAGGGCGGTCTCGCGAGCAAGGAGGGCGTGCTCTTCGTGCAGGGCGGGATCCTGCGGCAGTGGAGGCGCTGCTGGTGCGTCGGCGGCGGGGGCAAGTTCCGCGTGTACCCGCTGCCAAACGTCGACAAGCGCGGCTCGGGGGCGGAGGAGCGGGCCGGGGGTGCCGGTCCCCAGAGGCGTGGCGGGGCGGTGGCGGTGAGCGAGTCGCGACTGCCACACAGGAGCGGCCTGCCATCGCCGACCTCGAGCTCGTCCTCTGCGCCGTCAAGCCGCAGCGCATCGGCACGCGCTCGTACCTGCAGCTGCGCTCGCCGCAGGCGCTGCCAGACACTCTCCAGACCACTCGCTCCGCTTCCTAGACACCGTTTAGCAGCTGCGCGCCCCACGCCCCCCTCCCCCCTCCCCCGGAGCTGCGACCCTGACCCGCCTGGTGGGCCGCAGGCGCAGCTCACCCTGCAAGCCCTGACGGAGGGGACGGCGCAGGCGTGGGCTGCCTTCTTCTCGCGCGCCATCGAGCAGGCGGGGCGCCGCGCGCCGCGCACGAGGCAGCCGCGACCCCGTCATGCGTCGGGACCTCGCCGCAGGCGTACGGCGTCGGCGGCGGCGTCGGCGGCGCGGGCGGCTTGCCCGGTGCCCAGCCCACCGAGAAGGGCAGCTCCGCGGGGGAGCACGCGCCGTCGTCGGGGGAGCGAGCTGCCGCACTGGCGCGGCTGCGTTCGCTCGAGGTGCCGTGCGCCGACTGCGGCGCCGCCCGCGCCGAGTGGCTCTCTGCCAACCTCGGCGCGCCTCGCCCCGGGCTGTACGGCCGAACCACCCCGCTGTTCGCCCCCGCCGCCGCACCCGCCCCCACCGCCCACACCCGCCCGCCGCCCAGACACGCCCCCCCTCGCCGCCACCAAAGGCGTGCTTGTCACCAAAGGCGTGCTTGTCACCACAGGCGTGCTAGTCTGCCTCGAGTGTGCCGGCTGCCACCGCTCGATGGGGACGCACGTCTCGAAGATGCGCTCGCTCGTGACCGGCCTCTCGCGTCCGGACGGAGCGGAGCGTGCCCCGGCGCCCTCACGCGCGGCGCGACTGCCCACAGGTGCTCGACGCGTGCGAGGCGCCCCTCCTCAACCTCGCCTGCGACCTCCACGAGGCGGACCTCGGCCCGCACGCGCCGCCGCCGGCTGACGGCGGCGGTGACGCCGCGGCGGCGCCCGCGCCGGCCTCGGGGGCCAACGCGGTGTGGGAGGCTCGGCGGCCGCTCTCCGTGCGCCGTCCGGCGCCGTCCGACGGCGCCGACGGGCCGGGCCCGCGCGAGCTGCGCGAGGTGTTTGTCCGGCTCAAGTACGAGCTGCGCGAGTTCGCCCTCCGTCCCGAGGAGGTGCCGCGCGGCCCGGGCGCGAGACCGGCCGACGGCGCCGCGTTGGGAGAGGCGCTCGCCGACGCTTGCCTCGCCGGCGAGCCTCTCCGGGTGCCACCCCGCCAGCCCCACCCCCTCCCCCGACACACCGCCAACACCGCCGCCACACCGCCACCCCCGCCACCCCCGCCGGCCCCGCCATCTCCCACCCCCGCCACCCCCGCCGGGCCAACTGCCAGCCCCCGCCACCTCTCGCGCACGCAACACGACTCGCAACACGGGACCGCAGGCGCTGCAGCTTCTCGCTGCCGGAGCGGACGCCTCCTACTCGCGCGACGGCGTGACATGCTACGAGATCGCAGTTGCTGCCGCTGCCGCAGACGACGCCTCGCCCGGCTCGGCTCTGTGCGCTCGCCCTCCCGCCCCGCCGGCCCCACCCCGCCCCGATGGATCGCCGCCGCCGCGTCACGCCACGCCGGCCCGACTCGTCCCGCCTCGTGAGCCGCTGTCGGCCTGCGCCAGGTGCGCGGAGCTGCTGTCGCACAACGGCGGCGTGCCCCTCGCCGAGCTGCCGCCGCTGCCCTCGGAGATGCCAGACGAGGCTGGGCCGCCGAGCGGCGGCGAGGGGCCGCCTTCGCCGCGCTCCCCCCCCGCCGACGCAGCCGCGACGGTCGCCGCCGCCGCAACGGCGGTCGTCGGAGAGGTTGCGGCGGTGAGCGTCGAGCTCTCACAAGACGTCAAGGCGGCGGTGGGGGTGGTTGGCGAGGCGGCCGTGCAGTCGGCGCGCACCCTCGGGCTGGGCGCTTTCGCCTCCTCGATCAGCGACGTCGCCTCCTCCCTTGGGGGCACCATCGGCGAGATCATCGCAGAGGCGCCGGCAGAGCAGCGCTCGCCCACCCCGCCGTCCGCCTCGCGGCATCCGCCACAGCGCAAGGAGCCGATCCCCGAAACCTCGCTGCCGCCCAAGACACCGCCGCCGCCAGAGGCGCCTGCGGCTCCTGCCGTGGCGGCTCCGTCGCTGGCGGCGTGCACGGCGAGTCCCTCGGCGACGGCCACGGCGGCTGAGACGGCGGGACCTGTGGCGGCGGCGGCTCCCGAAATGGCAGCGGCGGCTCCCGCTGTGGCGGCTCCCGCTACGGCGACGCCCGCGGTTGCGGTCCCCGCGGTCGCGGCGCCCGCGGATGCGGCGCCCGCGGTTTCGGCCCCCGCGCGGGATGCGGGGCCCGCGATTGCGGCGGCGGCGCCTGCGGAGGAGCCGCTGATAGACTTCTGAAGCACCCGAGGGCGCGCAGTGGCGCACCGTGCTCTTCATGTGGTCCGGTTGCGTCGATTTTCTGGTGTGTTCTCACGATATCACGTAGATCGTAGTCCTCGTGGTGTGTTCGTTGGAAAGGCGAAAGGGCGAAATTTCCCTACTTCGATCTTGCCGCTTGCCGTGTTGCGACGTTCGTTCGTTCGCACGCGCCGCAGAGAGAGCGCGTTGCCGCTATGATGAAGCAGCCGGCAGCACCAGCGCCTGACACAGCCAATCTCAAAGCGGCTGCCATCACCTCCGTGACGATGCTCTTCTACGCCTCTAACGACATGACCTGCAAGATGGTGATGGCGCGGCTTCCCGTGCCAGAGACGCTGGCGTTTCGAAATGGCCTAACGGTACTTGGGACCGCTGCAATTGCAGGGCCGTCAGCACTCCGGGAGATTGCAACGCTATCAAGGCGGGACGCCAAGGCGCTCCTCGCACGCACCAGTTGCGACATCACTCTCACCACTTGCTTTTTGATCTCGCTGGCCGAGCTACCTTTGGCGAATGCGGCAGCCGTCCTGCAGATTGCACCTCTTATAATCGTACTCGGCGGCGCGGTCTTTTTTGGAGAGCGCGTTGGACCTGTTGATTGGCTCCTCTCCATTATCGGGTTTATCGGCGCGCTCATCATTATCCGGCCAGGCGCGCGTGTGCAGGACACGGCGAGACCACCAAGACCTCGGCTGAACCCCGGCCTCCTCATCCACGGCCTCGGTAGCCGCGGCGCCTCGGAAACTTCCCTAATTTGAGCCCCGGCCTCGCGTCGCGCCCAGGTTGCGAGGGCTTCAACGCCTTTTCTCTCTGGCTCGTCGCCGCGGCCTTTGCTGGCGCTCTGAGAGATCTGCTCTCGCGCACCTTATCTGATGCACTAGCCCCGAGCACTGTTGCGCTCTCCTCGTCGACGGGTGTCCTCCTTTGGAGCCTCGGCTGGCTGGCCTTGACCTCGCAGGCCTACGTCAGGCCCTCGGCGTTTGAGGTTTGGCTCCTCGTTGCGACAGCCGGCAGCCTGCTCACCGCCAACGTGCTGGCGGTCGTCATGATGCGCAGCGGGAACGCTGCTTTTGGCGCGCCATTTCGATACACGCTCCTCCTCTGGGCGACGTTGCTGCAGGCAGCGTTTTTCGGCGCTTGGCCTGATAGCCTGACATGCATCGGAGGCGGCGTCATCTTGTGCGCTGGCCTCGCTGCACTGCACCGCGAGGGACGGCGCCGCACCGTCCGCGCAGCCCCGAAGAACAGCACGCATGTGGCCCCAGCGCCGACCCGCGCGAAGTTGTCCGAGCGGCTGCTGGAGTTGGAGGCGTGAGTGTTATCGCCGCGCACAAACTTGTGCGTTTTCCGTTTCGTCAGTACTACGTTACGGGCTGCCAATAGGATTAGGAAGATCGTGTTCGTACTCTGAACTCTCGCTCTCTGATTCAATGTCCGTGATTCTCCAGTCTCTGTACGGAGACTGCAGACTGAGACTCCTCTTCTCGGGTCCGTTGGCCTCTTTTGTAGGGAAGAATTTTGATACCCGTCAAGACGCCTGCTGGGGGCAGCTTCGCGACGAAGCCGTCTGCTCCCCCAGCAGGCACACACAAGACAGATAGGAGGAGAAAGGGGACGGTGGTGGGTTCGACGAGGAGAGAGAGAAGGTACTGGCGACGCGCACTGACTGACGTCAGCTCTGCCTCTGAAGTGCCCACCTTTCAGAGGAGCTTACTTGTCGCCAACCAGATTTCGATCTCGTCGCCAGACTCCGCCATGTGCCGCTCTCGCCATGTGCCGCTCGCTCGTGTCCGCCCAAGTGACTTGGACGCGCGGTCGAGGGCACCCCACCGTTCTTGGGGCGCGCTGGCGCTCACCAGCTATCGTCCCCCCACCCAGCCACCCTTTTTTTTTGAGGCTGTCGCTCCGAGAAAGCTCGTCTCGCAGCTCTGCGAGAAAAGGTATAAAGCCGTACGGGGGAAGGACCGTGAGTTGAACGAAATCGAGGGACGCGACCCACTTCGCCACAGACGGTCCCGCGCCTCGCCGCTATGACGGCTACACGCCCGCGGCTCGTGTGCGTGTAGCCGTCTTTGTCCGGAGTGAATACTTCAACGCGCTCGTCGGTGACGGTGTCCCTCGATTTCGCCGCGCTCGGCGAACGTACCTCGACAGCGCCTTCGGTGTGGCATGCATCAAGCTGCTGTACGGCCCCGGCATCGCCTTCCCAGGCTTAGCTCTCAGTCAAGATATTGTGGACATGGTTGGTCTCTACAATATATATACTGACACTTCACCTCCCAGAGCTCGTCCCGGTCCGTCACGGCCATCCTCGGCCTCCGGAGGGCCCCCGGCCGCGGCGCGGTGCGGCGGAGTCACAAATCCGACGGCAGAGCACCGGGACGCGGTCGGGCGATCTGAGGCCCAGTGAGGCGTATGCATTGCCCATCCAGGACTATCACCTGGACCTATCAACAGGGGCTGGAGCCGAGCAGGAGGGCTTTGGCGCACAACCCCTGTCGAACTCAGGGTCCTTCCCCTTTATCTTTGAGGTTTGACAATTCGTGAAACGGTTTGAATGAGTCGTCTCTCCATGTGCAGAGCACTGTCACTGAGCACGAGACTCTCCAGGACTCCACCGCACACCCGCACACACGGTTCTTGCTTCTTGGCCGCCGACGTTTTTTGCCCCCGGTCGTATACACACAGTGATTTTGATGAGTGATTTACACAACTCCGTACTCGTTTTACGCGTGACCACCGCCCTCCCTCAGCGCTCATGCTGCTCAAGGGCCTTGCGTTCACTATCTATCTCACGCCAGCCCACTCCCGGCTCGCATCTGCCAGCTTCGCGAGCGCGCGGCGGTGGTCCCTCTCGAGGGTCCGCATTGCAGCAGCGGACGAGGCCACTGGCAGGACAGCCGCGAGGTGGGCGACGAGCCGCGGCGGCGGCTCGGCGCGCAAGTGCCGCAACGCGCCGCACAGCTCGGCGAGGGCCGCCGCGTCGGCAGCGCCCAACGGCGCCGAGCGCTCGCCCGGTAAGCGGACGGTTGCAACCGCCTAAGGGGGGGGGGGGCGGGGGGGTGCCTGCGTGAGAGGCTGCCTGCGTGTGGCGGCCGCCATGCCCCCCCCCTCCCCCCCGGCAAACAGAGGGCGGGCCAGAGGGTCAAGCGAGTCCCCCGTCCAAGGAGCGCGCCTGCAGCAGCGACCGCTGGGCGGCACCTCGCTCGCAAGCCGCCGCGAGAGGCAGCCGACTGAGCGCCCGGAGCGCCACGCCAAGCTGCACCGCCGTCAGCTTGGGCGCGAACCTACAGCGCACGGCACCGCCGCCCTCTGGACGGCGCCGGCATGGGGTGCGGGATGGCGGGGGGGGCGATGCGCACTCGGCGAGGCGGGAAGCGAGCATCGGCGTGGCGGGCGGCCGGTCCCACCTATGGGCGAGTCGTGGACGTGTTGTGGACGTGTTGCGGACAGCGCGGCTGGCTGATCCCGCACCGGAGCTGCTTATTCTTAATTAATTATTAATTAATCCCGCACCGGAGCTGCGCGAGTGCGGCGAGGAGGACTATTTATTACTATTATTATTATATTATGAATTAATTAATCCCGCACCGGAGCTGCGCGAGTGCGGCGAGGAGGACTATTTATTACTATTATTATTATATTATGAATTAATTAATCCCGCACCGGAGCTGCGCGAGTGCGGCGAGGAGGACGAGCGAGTCGGCGACGCGCAGGAAAGAGAGCTTCTCCGCAGCCTCGTCGCTGATCTGCTCGAGCGCGACGGGCAGCCAGAGCTCGGCGGCGGCGAGCGCGGCGCTGAACTCGGCGAGCGCGCGCCCGTTCATGTCCGGGAGCAGGTCGGGCAGTCGGTCCGCCTGCGGGGCAGAGTGCCGCTGGATGTCGCAAGAGCTGTTTCGGGGCCCTATCTCGGACGGGTCGAGAGGCGGGCGGCGTGGCTTGCTCGCCGAGGCGCGCAGCAGCCGCTCGTCCGACACGCCGAGCGAGGCGAGCGAGGAGAGCAGCGACGGCAGCTCCACCGGCCCAAAGTCGGCGAGCTTTGCCGCCGCCGTGTCGACGACGCCGCCTGTCGCGGGAGAGAGCTCGACAGTGAAACCGCCGACGAATCACTCGTTAGTCGTCGACGAGAGAGCTCGACGGTGACGCGTCGACGGGTGGCCGCCGCGCCGTGCGAGGTGTGGGCAGAGGCCAACCGGCCGGCTGCGCCCTCGACGCGAGTCCGCCCATCTGGCGCTCCCATCTAGCGCAGACCGAGCAGCCGGCGCGGCGCGAGCCCGAGCCCGAGCAGGCCGCCGCACAGGTTGGCGAGGTCGATCGGGTGCAGCCCGCGCACGTCCGCCTCGGCGCGCTCGAGCAGCGGCCGCGCGAGCGCCTCGTCGCGCCACCGCAGCCGGCCGAGCGAGTACACTCCCGACACAACGTCGCGCAGCGCGAACGTCTCTGCGCGGCGGGCGCTGTGCGAGCACAGCTCGCCGAGGAGCGTCGCGTCGCGCAGCTGGAGGTACGCCGCGGCCTGCAGCGCGTTGGAGAGCTGCCGCGCGTTGAGCTGCGGCAGCGAGGCGAGCACGTCCGAGCGCAGCGCGCCGAAGCGCGGGTCGCGCGCCACCCGCGCCTCGCCGGCGAGGTGCGCCGGCATGCGCGTGAGCTGGCCGAGCGCGTAGAAGGCGGCGACGGTGTCCGCCGGCTTGAGCACCGGCCGCTTGGCCTCGTAGGCGCCGAGCACCTCGTCGGTGCTCTTCAGCTGGCTGAACTTCGGCGGAGCGCTGAGGGACTCGAGCCGCAGCTGCGTCGCTCTCTCCGCCCGCAGGATGCGCCGCTGCAGCTGCTCCTCGCGCCTCAGATCGGTGGCGGAGAACTGCGGCCGCTGCGGCAGGATGGCCATGGCGCGTCGCGGCGGCAACCATCGAGCGATGGAGGCGACGAGCTGGCGGGGCGGCAGCATCGTGTGCGAAAGGGTTTTCTTCTTACTTAAGTCGTCGAAGGCGTCGTCGCCCTCGTCGTACGTAGGGGACAGTTTCAATAATTTCGCTTCCAAAAAACGAGTGTGGAGTGAGCCCGTGCAGCCGTGCTCACGAATTCTCTGAACCCAGTCTTGCGACTGTCACTGTGCTATTTCGGGCCGGGGTTGTGCTTTTGTGTGAAGCGCCGACCCCGCAGTCCGGCCGGAAGAAATACTGGCGGTGAAATAAGAAATGCGGCGAAGTTTCGCTGCCTTCCAACTTCTGTGGCCGCCTGGTCGCATCCGTCTCGTGCACTCGTGCACTACCCTCTCGTCGATCCCTCTCGTCGATCGCCCTCTCGTCGATCGCCCTCTCGTCGATCGCCCTCTCGTCGATCGCCGCATGTCGCTCGACGCCCTCCCTCCCGAGTGCAGCGAGTGCGTCGCCCTGACGCTGCGCGAGCCCCGATCCATCCTCAGCCTCACCGCGTCATGCCGCACACTGTACGACGCCCTCCGCTCCTCGCGGCTCCTCTGGCGCACGCTCTGCCTCGAGCTGCTCGGGGCGCCGCTCGTCGACCTGCACCTCACCGCGTGGGGCTGCTCCGGCGCGGACCCGCGCTTCTTTCGACGCCTCTACCGCGCCGCCTCCCGCGGCGACGAGTTTGTGTATGCCAACAAGCTCCGCTCCGAGATGATCGGCGACTCCGAGCAGCTGGAGGCGGCTCTGGCCGCCACCGGGCACACGTCCACCGGCGCCGGAGGCTTCGTGGCGCTCGTCGGCGGCTGGCGACCCGACTGCTCGGAGCCGGTCCTCCAGACCGCCCTCGTCGACCTCTCCCGCCGGCGGTTGCGCCACCCCAGCCTCGCCGCTGGCTCTGCCACGCCCGCCCGCCGCATGCGCCACGCCGCCTGTTCCGTCGCTCGACCGGCGTGGCTCCCGCTGCCGGCCGGCCAGCGCCCCGCCCCCCTCGTCCTCGTCCTGGGCGGCGCTGCGGACGGCGGCCCGCCGCCGGAGGGGATGCCGGACCTGCCTCGCGGCGCGCCCATCCCCGGCGGGATCCGGCGGCTCCTCCTGCTCGAGGTGGCTGCGCCGGACGGCTCGCTCGTCAAGTGGCACGAGACGGAGGCGGCGGGCCAGGCGCCGGGCGGCGGCATGTGGCACCACCAGGCGGGCAGCTTTGCCGGCGGCACCCGCGCCGTCGTGTTTGGCGGCGACGTGCCTCCCGACGACCCCGAGTTTGAGCACATCGCCCACCGGCAGCACGCGAGGCGCCCTCCCCGCCACCCCCTCCCCTCGCCGCGCCTCCCCCCCGCCCGACCCCGTCGGCGCGTGGCAGGCACGTGTACGTCCTCGACCTCCCCACCCGCAGCTGGGCTCGCGTCGGCACGAGCGGCTCTGCGCCCAGCTGGCGCTCGCTCCACTCGGCCGCCGTCTTCCGCGCCGACGCCGCGACGCGCCGCGACGCGCTCGTCGTCCTCGGCGGGTCGGACGAGCACGTGCAGCCCTTCTCGTCGGGCCCGTGCGACGACTTTGAGCCTCGCGTCCTCTGCCTCACCACGTTCGAGTGGCACGGCCCGGCGGACCTCGACGAGCAGGGCGCGGGCGGCTCTTCCGGAAGCGAGCCGCCCGTGCGGTGGACGCCGGTGCCGCGCATGCGGTTCGCGGTCGGCGTGTACGGCCAGCGCCTCGTCGTCTACTCTGGGCACGGAGGCGTCCCTCTCCCGACGCGGGAGCTCCACCTGCTGCTCGACTTGCGCTCGCTGCGCTGGTCGAGGCTCACCCCGCGCAACCGCCCGTCCTCGCTCGCCAACACGCCCGCCGCCGCCATGAGCTGCGGCGTCATCGCCGGCGGCGTCCAGATGGGCTACTTTGGCATCCGGCCGTGCCCGAAGCTCGACGTGCTGCTCCTCGCCGAGCCGCCCGCCGACGGAGACCCAGCCGCCGACCCCGGCGCCGCGTGGGAGGGGGCGCCCCGGGCCGCGCCCGCCGGCGCTAGCGGAGCACGGCACGCGGAGGCGGCCAGCGGCGGTGACGACGACGAGGAGGAGGATGAAGACGACGACGACGACGACGACCGCGTCGTGCGCGTCAACGTGCAGAGCTCCGATGGCACGCAGCGCGAGTTGCTGCTGCCCCTCAGCTTCGTGGTGGCCTTCATGCGACAGCAGGAGTCGCAGCAAGGCGAGGGGGAGGCTGGCGGGGAGGGGACGTCGGAGGAAGAGGCTGGCGGGGAGGCGGCGGCGTCGGAGGAAGAGGTTGCGACCGCCTCCTCGGTTGGCGACGCGGCGGCGGACGCCTTTGCGGGTCTCATGAGAGATTTGGACTAGCTACAAGCCAGAGGGTCGGTTGGCGGTGGGGGAGCGGTCGGAGAACGTGGGCACAGTCCGTCGTGCGAGGCAGGTGGTGGTTAGTGCGTGTTGGCGACGGGCGGTCCTCAAAGATGTGAAGGTTTATGAAGCCCAACGCGCAAACGTCCCGTCTCACCTCTCTTACTCTAGACTCTACTCTTATGGTCTCTGTTCGGGAAACCTATATAGGCATACCGGGGCGCGGGGGGGAATTAGACACACCGACGCCCGACGAAGTGCCAAGAAGGACGTCATTAGTACGAAACCTCAGAAGGCCATGGGCGCCGAGAGAACCGATTCCCCGAAGAGGACAAAAGAAAAAGAAAAGGCTTCGCACCCTCTCCTTGCGCAGTGACCCTCGCTAACGGTGTCGCCGTTATCGGGGCACGCTATCCTGCGCAGGCAGGGCAAGCGGGGGAGGGGGGCAGTCCCCCTGGTCTGATACTGGGGTGTGGGTGTCTCCAGTCTCGGAGGGGGGCAAAAAGATAAGAATATCTAAAAAAAATTTAGACTCTACTCTTATGCGAAAGCGACCGTGTCGAGCTGCCTTGCTGCCTGCCGGACCCGCGTGGAGAGGCGTCGTGACTCGTTCGTGAGTATACTGAGTTACGTCTCTTACGAGAGACAGAGGCCGCGTCTCCCGTTTTGATCTCTCCCACGGTCAGTGGGCGCCCGCCCGCCGCCTCTGAGGGGGTCGGGCCCCCTAGTCTGAAAACCAAAATCAGCCTGCGAGAGAGGCACTGCGCGCCGCTCACCTCATGTGGGGATGTGTGCCGACACCAATACTGATCTAAAACCTGGAAACCCTTGTTCAAAGCCGACCCTGAGCGCCATCCTTCCTGCTCTCACCTCTATGCTTCCCCGCGCCGCCTCCTTGGCCCCCTTGGGCGTATTTTCTACTCCCAGTGGGGGAGGGCTCCCGGGCCCCCTCTTGTTTTCTGTTTTCTGGTTTTCAAAACGCCCGCCCGCCCGCCACCCCGAGGCGGCTCGGCCCCCCACTGACCGAGAGATCAAAACGGGACGGCCAGAGAAGGGACCGCTTTTAAGTTCGAGTGAGACGAGTGTCCACCTGTCCAGCGCGTGCGTGGCCAGTGCGCGGCGAGATTCAGAGATAGTTCAGATAGAGTAATCCGTTCTTTAACAATTCGGAATTTACAGCAGGAACCGCCGCGTCTCGGTACGCGGTTGAAAAAGAAACGCCATCCGCGTTTCTTTTGGTTCGCCCACGCGCAGGCTCTGAGCAAGAGCAGCATGGTGTGTGGCTCGCGCGCCCTGCAGTCAACTCCGCCACGCGCCCTAGGCGTTCCCCTCGCGAAGGCGAACGGCCCTCTGAGGCCTGCGCCCGCGCCGCGCCAGGTGGCCGTCCCCGAGAGTCGGTGCGGAGCGACCCGCGGTCTCAGCCCACACCGGGTGCGGTGGCGCTTTTGGCGAATCATCTTTTACCACGCAAGACACCGGTTGCGGGGGGGGGTATAAAGGCGTCCGTCCCACGTTGGGTTCAAAACGGCGAATGGCACTATATACGTTCGCGTATTGATAGTACCGAGCGCCGAAGCCCCCGCTGGGGATGGCTAGGATTCCTATGTCCTACGTATTACTCCTTCCGTGTTCATGCATTCGAGGGCGGCCCGCACGAGGGCGCTCTGTCCTACGTATTACGTCCGTCTTCACGTATCTCGTATCATGCAGACTCGGCCCAGACCCTACTTCGCGCTGCCGCTAATGCCACCCGCACCCCGTTGTGTGCGCGGTTAACAGGGTCGACAGTTGAGCTAGGGAGTGTGGTGATATGCGAACGCAGGAGATAAAATGCTATGCGGCGACGTTCCGTGGGTAGGATCAAGTCGCCGCTCGCTTTCATTACAAGCTCCTTGTCACGTGCAAGTCTACGTGCGTCCTCGGGGCTACTCGAGTAAGGCGTAGCCGAGCTGTCACAGAGGGAGAGAGAGAGAGTCTCCCTCGCTGCGCGTTTGGCCATGGCCCTCTTGTTTTCTGTTTTCTGGTTTTCAAAACGCCCGCCCGCCCGCCACCCCGAGGCGGCTCGGCCCCCCACTGACCGAGAGATCAAAACGGGACGGCCAGAGAAGGGACCGCTTTTAAGTTCGAGTGAGACGAGTGTCCACCTGTCCAGCGCGTGCGTGGCCAGTGCGCGGCGAGATTCAGAGATAGTTCAGGCAGAGTAATCCGTTCTTTAACAATTCGGAATTTACAGCAGGAACCGCCGCGTCTCGGTACGCGCGGTTGAAAAAGAAACGCCATCCGCGTTTCTTTTGGTTCGCCCACGCGCAGGCTCTGAGCAAGAGCAGCATGGTGTGTGGCTCGCGCGCCCTGCAGTCAACTCCGCCACGCGCCCTAGGCGTTCCCCTCGCGAAGGCGAACGGCCCTCTGAGGCCTGCGCCCGCGCCGCGCCAGGTGGCCGTCCCCGAGAGTGTGCTCAAGAAGCGCAAGCGCCAGGAGAAGTGGGCCGCTGACAAGGCGGCCGCCACCTCTGCTGCTGAGACCAAGGCTGCCGCCAAGCGCAAGGACATCTTCAAGCGGGCCGAGGCGTACGTCGCTGAGTACCGCTCTGCCGAGCAGCAGCTCGTCACGATGAAGCGCGCCGCCCGGAAGGCTGGCACGTTCTACGTTGAGCCGGTCCGCGCCGCCAGCCGCGCCCAGCAGACCGCGCGCGCGCGCGACACCGTGCACTGTGTGCATACGGCCCCGCTCGGGGTGTAGCCGGGCGACCCACCCTCCGGCGGCGTGGCTGCCGCTGCTGAGGCGGGGCGCAGCGATTGCCGGCAGCGCCAGCGCAGGGCGGAGAGGGGGACCGGCAGCAGCCTGTCGGTCGGCTCCCGCGCCGCTTGCCGACGAGCTTCAAACGCCGACCCCGGCGCGCTGCCTCGCCCACCTCAGGAGCACAAGCTGCTCTTTGTGATGCGGCTGCGCGGTATCAACGGGATGCACCCCAAGACGCGCAAGATCATGCAGGTCCTGCGGTTGCTGCAGATCAACAACGGCGTCTTCATGAAGGTCAACAAGGCGACGATGAACATGCTGGTCAAGGTGGACCCGTACATCATGTACGGCTACCCCAACCTGAAGACCGTCAAGGAGCTCGTCTACAAGCGCGGACACGCCAAGGCACCCTTTCCCCTTCTTCCCGCCCAACCCCCCCCCCCCCCTCTCCCGCCCAACCCCTCCCCCCCCCCCCTCCCCCTTCCCCCTCCACTACTCGCTCGCTCGGCCCGTCCCGGGCCTCTTGCCCCTGCCCGCGGTGCACGCGCGGCCGACTGGTCCTCCCCGCCCGACCGCCACGCCTCACGCGGCCTCCCCGCTCCCCCCGCTGCAGGTGAACGGCCAGCGCGTGCCCATCACCGACAACGAGATCATCGAGAAGGCGCTCGGCGAGAAGACCAAGGGCAAGATCATTTGCATTGAGGACCTCGTGCACGAGCTCTACACCGTGGGCCCGCACTTCAAGGAGTGCACCAAGTTCCTCTGGCCCTTCAAGATGAACTGCCCCGTCGGCGGCTTCTCACGCATCCGCAACCACTTTGTCGAGGGCGGCGACGCCGGCAACCGGGAGGAGTACGTGAACGAGCTCATCCGGCGCATGCTGTGAGGCGCCCCCCCTCAACCCCCTCCGCCAATCTGGACGCCGCCGGGCACGAGGCGCCACACGCCGGGCGCGCCGCACGCCGGGGGAGTGTGGCGTTTGTCTTGGGTACTAATGGCGCGTGGAGAGAGAGAGCGGCCGGGCGGCGGCCGCGCGTGATGGCGCCTCGTGTGCTGTGTGGAGCGTCCTCCTTGGCGGAGCGTCGATGATTAAACTTTGACTATTTTACGGGCTTCCCCGATCTATGAGACAAAACTCAATAACACTATCACTAACCGAACGAACTGCACAACTCTCAACTGGCCAGTGGCATGTTGTGCGAGTATATGGGACAAAAGCGTCGAAAATGTCCCAAAAAAGCGTGTCTCGAGTTTGTGGCAGCCCCACAGCCGGCGCGCGCTGCCAGGAAGCACCGCTCGAGTGTCGGCCGCACTCCCTGGCACCCAGTGAGTGCGGCCGACCGACCAGACCGATTAGGCTCGACGCCGCGCTCGCTGTGGGGCTGCCACAAAGTCGCCGCCGAGCGTGCCACCGACGGCGTCCTGGCGGAGGTGATGGAGTGTGAGACCTGAGGCTGCGGAGGTGACGCCTGAGGTACCGGCCCGTGCACAGCGACTCAGCCGGCGACCGCCACGGGCTCAGACGAGACTTGTCGACTCGTTCCGGCTCAGCTTCACCGTGGTCATCGGGCGTCTGTCGACGTCAGGACCACCCATACAGCTCGAGGGTTTGAGGTCGCAAGAGCCAAGATGGTGGCGTTTGGACATCCCAACCATCACACAAGACAGCCTGTAGGTGATGGCGGGACGGCGCAGTGTTTGTGGCACTCGGCAGTAGGCACCCGCGGCACGGCCCCGCTGTCGGCTCTCGCGGGCTGCAGAACCGGCCCCAGAAGGGGACGTTCCGGGCGAGTGTGGCAGCTCCTTCGCTAGTATGGGCACCCTCTATCATAGCACTACTGATCCTGGTCATTAGAGCTGCCAGGGATAGCGTCAGGAGCCGGTAGTAGTCAAAACCCCTCATATTTGAGACATCGTGTCCCATATACTCGCACAACATGCCCAGTTGAAGTGTGCGATAACTATCCTCTATCTCGAGAATAAACATTAAACTATAAAGAATGGTTTTAAAGATTAAAGACGAAACGACACTAACGAGCCGAAAGCCGCGAGAAACACACGGTGCCCAGTCGAGACGGCCCCGAGACCGAGAGCGGAGAGAGACCGGGGTCGCCCTGGCCAGCGCGAGAACATCACATCTCATGGACACACACACAAATCACACACACACACACATCGGCACCGAGACCGGACGCTAACCCGCCCCCTCACGCGCCAGCCAGTGCGAGGAAGCGAGAGAGGAACTCGCTCTCCAGATGCGT